TACGTAAATTGCTTGGTTAAATAAATTAATCGAAAGGGCTTAACCAAGTTAGATGTAAGCGAACCCGAATATATGTGGAGGCACTACAGGTTCTTGTTTTATGTAGTCTAATTGTATCATTGTTAAGGTACTAGATTACCAGGCCTCTATTCTTATTCCTTTTATGATGAGCTCTCAATTGATTCACAAACTATGATCATCCGATTTGCTATTCCGCTACACCCACAGTCGCTTTCTGGATCATTCATTCATTCATTGTTATTTTCCATATGTGTGTGTGATGCGATCTGGTCTGCCTTACATTCACAGCCACTTTCAGTTCACTGATGTTTCATTTTTACTTTTGCCAATGTAGTTATGATCCAATCTGTCCTACACGTTCTTGTTGATTGATTCCACTCTATAAGATTATACGTTTCTCTCTGTGTAAATGGTTTGGTTTACTCTATGACCTTGACTACTCACAGAAAATGAGGTAGTTTAATGTGTTAACCAGTCAGTTTACGTTCAAAGTTTTATCAGTCTTTGTGATTTGATGTTTTGCGAAATTTCTAAAAGTTTTGCTTGGCGGGAGATAGGAGGTTTGACCGATGGGCAGATCACTTTAGAAAATAGTTCAACTATCCTTCAGCAACTCCTTAATTACACACCCTCTCCAAACAACCTGAACGGCTAATTTATGTAAGCCTTGCAACTCTTAATGAGGTTGCAAAAGCTATAGATAGTCTCAAGCAAGGGGAAGCAGCAGGATTTGGTAGATTGACTCCTGAGATTTTTAAGGATTGCAGTCCAGTTTAAGTAGTAAGATATCTTAAATCTGGGAAAACCGAAAGTAATCCTATCTGATTGGGTTCAATCACTGACTATCCCAGTCTACAAGGAAGGATAAAAGTCCCCTTGTGACAGTCACTGAGGAATCAGTTTAACTAATAGAGTGTCTAAACTATCGGCTTCAATAATAATTCAACGCCTAACCAGGGCTCGTGAAGGACAAGTTCGACAGAACTATGCTGATTTCAAACCTAGGCGTGGATGTATGGACCGAATATGCCCACACTTCGACGTCCGACAATAGTTGTCTTTCTTGACCTCAAAGTGGCGTTTGACTTTGTTGATCATCAGGTTTTGTGGCAGTGTCTGTCAATGACGACTATACTAAGGAAGCACATTACCTTTATGCAGGCTCTCTAATCAAACACTAGTGGTCATTCATGCTGAACTGTCATCGGAATTGATTATCTCGAGTGATGTTTGTCAGCGCTGCTCACAGCAACATTTCGCTTCATTCATGTATCATTGTTATTTTACCCAGTTTATTGGTATGATGCCGTCTGGTTTGTTTATGCATAGAAAGGAATGTCTGAATTGTGACAAGGACCTTTGACTGTGATAGTTATTGGTCTTGTGTTCTCTCTTGGCATTCGTGACTAGTGAGTAGTGAGTCAAAACTGTCCCTTTTGTGTATTGGTCTATCGAAGGTGATCTATGCTGATTGGTCAGTGTAAAGACACAACAATTTAAATAGTTTTTTAAATCGAAGAAGCATTGATTAGTTGTGTGATACTAACATTTAATCCTGTAATTATGCGTTAAATGCTGAACATTCACTTTACCTCAATTTGTTCAATTCACAGTTGGAATGCCGAATTGATGTAACCATAGGTTGATATCTTACATGAAACAATTAGTTGTAAAACTTACGTAATCAATTATTTGTGTTCATTTTTTTGATTGTTGACATAAATTACTCATTGTCACAAAATATAAATTGATCAACTCAACCGATCAGTGAGTGTTTGGCAACGTAGGACTTGATACATATGTGTCTCGGTTCAAGTTGTTGCCATCGAGTGAGACACCAGAGAAGTAAAAGTGTGGTGCTGTGGTGCGAACTACTTATAAGTAGTATATAACGTGAGTGTCAACGTAAAGTCACGTAGCATAATATGGGGGGAAGATCAAGAAAGGAAGAGTTAGTAAATAATGGAATTTGTATGAAACGCATGAATAGTGACAATGGATTGATGTTTGGCAACAGGAACAGTCCAGTTCGATATGATGAACTGATCTTTTGCAAATGAACGATTTACGATATGTTTTTCCAATTTTACTGAGTAACTCTGTAATTTTCGTTAAATACAATTCGGTTGCCCCACCTGTGTTCTCATTCACTACAAAAGTAGTGACAGTATCAATTCTAATGGAAAAGATTAGATTCAGAAGATATAGCCTGAGAAGAACCTGTCAATCTGAGAGAATAAAAGGATTTTAAAATTGTGGAGCAGAGAGAAAAATATTTTAAATTAAACTGTGTTGTTTTTTTATCTGGTTAGTGTACTATTTATTACTGTAATCATGAAATGGTCATTGTTAGACCACCATAAGAAAAACTTAAAGCATTGAAAGACGGCCGTTTTGTCCTGGTATGAGACTCATCAGTGGCAGTTCGCATCCATTACTTCAGCTACTCGCAAGGTTCGAACCGAGGACCTCTGCTCTTGTGAGCGAACGCCTAACCTCTGGACTACTGAACTAGCGGGCATCCAACGATGTTACTGTCTAACTCTGATCAACCCAGGGATTTCAAATCCTGCAATTATCAGGAGTCATGGATGCGCATTACCGTTGATGAACCGCATACCAGGACGAAACAGTCGTCTTTCAGTGCTTCTACGTTTCTAATGCTAGTGGTCTAACAATAATTGACTCACATTTCAGTAATATCCCAAAATGGCTAATCAAATCCATGATTCATCAACCTAGCCCATCATCTCAAAATCGATCAAGAAACCCAGCCTCGTCCATTTCAAAACATCTAATGATGAGTGGTCATCAAATTGACCCAAAATCAGCCTTTAGAGTTGTGACATGTAATCAAAACCCACACACACTGAAACTACTCGAAGCTATCTTGATTGGTCGGAAAAGTCCAACTTTATGTGTTCAAAAACAACTGTATGTTGACCTTTGTTTACCATGGTTCTAGTGAGTGAATGTCATGCTAAATAAGAAATTTTGACCTTATCTTCAAAACTGTATTTATACAAATAACATGTTGCTTGTATGTGACTGACGAGAAAGCACGAAATGGTACTATCTCACAAAATATGTCTTCTTATTTCTCTATTCAAATTTATCAAAGGGAACCACTGTTTTGAATTTCAGTAATAACCAAAAATCTCTATAATTCTATGATGAAAAATAGTTTACCATTGCTATGTTGAGAATAAATTGTTACAATATGGAATAATGTTGTACATTTATGCTAGATTTTACGTTTTTGTAAAAATCAGTGACTAACTGTTATGTTTTGGTGCTTGAAAGTGGAATTCTAAATTTTCTGTAACTTTAAATTAGCTACTTATTATTAAATGAGTAGTATGTTTGCAATAGATTTTGTCAAGAAAACTAACCAAACTGCCATTTATGTTCAAAAAAGAGTATGAAAATACTGAAATCATTACTTTTAAATACTAGGTAGTCATTGGTATGACGTTCTTCAGAGTAAGCTTTCATCATAAAAACAGATAATATTAGGAGGTATTAAGAACCATAAATAATCGAATAGATGTCATTTCAGTTTGAAGTTTTCAAACAGTTAACATTCATCATTTATATTTTCATTACTTCGATACGTCAATCTTCGAAACAAATGACGTCTAGAAATCCATTGTGAAATTTACGTGATCTACTTATACTACTCAATAGTAACTAAATAATTTTTCGTACATTTTCTCATTTGTCTTTATTGGGCTAACTGTAAATTGGCTGAACCATTCGTTTGGCTGCATTAAATTGATTTTATTTATCCTTGTCTAGTGACTATGGTTTCTGGACTCACCACGTTGAATGCAGTTCTTAAACAAAAACTCAAAAGAGAGAGGCTTAGTTACATATTTACTTACGCTCGTAACCTCTGATCGTACATGGGCCGCTGACCAACAACCTCGACCTACTCTGTCCTGTGCCTTCCTTTCCATTTCTACCCTATTGCTATTCATTCTCTTCAGATGTGCTTCTGATTCTTGGAGTAGTGTAATCCTTGGTCTTTGTCATCTCTTTTGACCTTGAAGATTCCAAGTTAGGACTTGCCTCATGACGCAGTCGAGTGCTTTCCTCAACGTGTGTCCTATCCACCTCCTGCGCTTTTTCCTAGTTTCTTCCTCTTCTCTGTTAGGTTCGACACTAGGTACTCTTGAAGATATTACGAGTTCAGCTTAGTCGAGAGAACGAGAGAATGAACCAGCGTGCAGGTAGGCTACCTTGATCCGAAAACTGCAAAAGAGATGTCTTGATAAGCGTAGAAAGTATATTCTACAAACACCCACAACGCACAGAAGCGTCCTTGGAGCAGTCACAAAAATAGCACACTAAAATACACAGCAGCCAACCACAGCCATGGATTTTCCTAGTGGGAAATGAAATCTCAAGGTCAACTGACCAACCCATGCTCGTAAAAATGAAATCCAAAATAAGACATTTATCAAGCGAGTTCTGTAGATATACCGTCCCCAACATTCTCGAATCTGGTTAGATCTCTCCCACAGTAGGTTGTTGCTGATAGTGTCCGGTAAACGAATCTGCATTATTTAATTCAAATAGATCCCCTCACACTTCTTAACCAGAATATATACTTACAATTGGTGAAGTTCAACCATTTTGCGAATATGGCACTCACCATTAACGTCACTGAATGATGGTCACAGTATGTCACAAATTAACTGAACTTTTACTTGCTGAGAGCTAAATCTGAACTTACTGCACACTGCTTAGGAATTTGTATTACAACAAGACAATCATAAACCATTCAGAGATGTCAGTTAGCTAGACATCTAAACTTTCCAAATAGCATTCATCCGAAGTTTGAATGATGATCCGATGTTGTGCACAATCTGTCAATGTTCAATTGTTAAAACACAATAATTTTGTTATAATTTGTGATATAATTCATAAACTTATTATATATTTTAATGATTATCGATCATTCACAACGAAAATAGGTTAAACAAACTGAAGTAACAATTCGTGTATCACAAGATGGATTAACCGTTACGGATAATTGGAGAAAATTATTTTTTCGACGAAACTATCCATTTCATTCGGTATTATTTTGTGCAATTGATCCTTGTCAAAGATGGTAAGTGTTGTAGTAAAATGAAAGTCTCTTATAATAAAACTGTATTTCATTGTTTGAGGCATTTTGATGCTTTGAAAAATTCTAATTCACTAGGAAAATCCACTGATAATTGATATTTTGAATAGTACAGTTGAACCATGTCGCTTGTGAATTATTTTCTTCTGGTTACGGTTCATTTAACGAGTTGGTTCACTGTGGAATGGGGGTCGCTAATCCCATATCGAACCCTTCTAATTTATCTAGGCTTTGGAAGAATTTGATTGTGACCAATTTGATCTGGCGTCCCGTTACGGGTATGAGGGCGGTTGTCGATTCCCGGCTGGAAGGTTGTTTCTTGAGGAACCTGAAAAGAAAGGTAGATTAGTGTCGTTCTTAGAGACCTTTTTATGAAAGGTTTTTTAAAGTATTAGCTCGGCTCTTTTTAAAGCCCTTACCGAAGGAGACGGAAATCCGTGAGGTAAGATGAGGTTTCACATTCTTAGGGTCATGTTGGTAGATGTAGACTACCTGGTTAGGGTCCGCGGGACTAAAGACACCAATGGTTAGAGAACTTAAACGACATGGCTCAGAATCGTTTGCAATGGCGCAGATGCATCCATTCTTTGTATTCTGTCAAATTCTAACCTTCTGGATTCATCAATACCTGTACCTTTGTCTTTCTAAACTTATCTTACCGAACTATACTTCTTGAATAATATCTTGGAACCATAATCTTCTCCTTTACCAGTAGTACTTCTATTATCTCTACCACTGTGGGATATGAATTAACAATTGCGTCTCTGTGCTAATATGGTATGGCAACCTGAACTGATGTACTCACATATGAAGTTCTATGTTGTAACTGACTGACTGACCAAGCTTCGGGCTGGCAGCCTATGCTGCACGAGGGTTAATAGGCGTAAGTAAGTAAGTAAGTAATATCGCTAGTGAAACACAATTATCAATCATGATATTAAATTATAGTTTCATTATATCATACAATATGATCAAGCTTCAATGAGTGTAGAGCGATGAACTGCGCCTCATCTTGTTTAAATTTATCGTACTCGTTGCAATTAGCTGAAGTTTTACAAGCATAACTTAACATGCATACAACATGAAGTCTAGAGTAAACTGTTTTATTGTCTCTCTAAAGAGCACTTTATTAAGAGAGTAAATAGATCACTTACTCTACGTTGTACTTTTGAAAACTAACGCACAACTTCATATCAGCTCGATGGGACTCGATGTTACTTGCTTACCTCCTTACGTACTTACGCCTGTTACCGGTTAGGGAGATGGGATCGCTAATCCCATACACAAACCTCCTCCTTTATCCGGGTTTCGGACCCTAGAAAGGCTTCAGGCGGAGTAAGAACTCAATATTAGTTCATTCAGTCGATATTAACACAATATTAAGTATAATTAATTCTTCTAAAAAAACAGATTGTATTTCTTTTATTCATTTTCATCTCTAATAACATCTCATTGTTTATTATCCAATTGACAAATTCAAAATTCAATCCAGTTCATTAAAATATACTATTAAAATAAAATTTGAATTCAAGTTCAAGTTCATCCTTCAATCATAGTAGTTTTAAACTCATCATGAACTGTATTCTTTGCAAACTTCTCTCTCTCTCTGTATGATACTTTCACACGGATCAATCAATCAATCAATCAATCTATCTATCTATCTTAAATATAAACCATATGACATGTGTAAAAAAGAGGTTCTTCTCACTCTCTCTCTCTCTCTACAGGAGTGAATACCAGCATCTGATGACTAACTATATTTCACATGATCTAAATTGACAGTTTATTTATATTTAACATTCTCTCTTAATTATTTCATTAATTCTTTTTATCTATTTTTTTGTTATCCATAGTTGGGAATCACCTGAACTCCGTTCAATGGGTTTCAAATCATCAATGTAAGTTGATTGGAATGTGCTATAATAACCCTTATATACTCTTCAAACAGGATCAATAAATCATCGGATCCCGCCAATAAAAAAATGAGTAGTCGGTCTGTATTACTCATGACCTTCACTTAGCCAATCACACACACGATATTCTGTCAACTTCTAATCTGTCCAATCAGGACACTGACAGAATTCATCTACTACTCCATATTTGTTCTTGAATTTTTAGATTGAATAACTCATACTTACATGAAGTAATTGATCTATGTCAAATAATAATAATAATAATAATAATAATAATAATAATAATAATAATAATAATAATAAGAAGAAGAAGAAGAAGAAGAAGAAGAAGAAGAAGAAGAATAAGAATAATAAGATTACAAAATGTACAGCAATTGCAACAATGCAAATTGTAATCTCTACCTAATTAAGTGGTTATTTTTAGTACAAAACTAACTGACAGGTAGATCATTAATTAGGTTGCAATCTATAAGACATTTTTTGAAAAAAACACCAAGTCGATAACAGCTGGTCATCTGAAAAGGAAGCGTGCAATTAGAGATCATAAGAAAAGTGATTTATAAACAATATTTAAGGATTATACTTTGAAAAAATAGGTATGATAATTGATTTTTGGAATGGTTTTCGAAATTGCTAACTTTTTTTTATGGATTTGCCTATGTCCAGCAGAATGAGATTGTATACTTCAAGTCTAATCAGTCAGTCATTTACAATGTATAATAAGTTGGTATGTACGTACATAAGTTCAGGTTGCTATACCTGATATGCTTGCAGCTATTATGAGTTCTCCTTACTCCGTAAATGGAACGAAGATCAATGATTTAGGGCAAAATAGGCTACTCTGATCCGATCGTCCCAGGCCCCACTAACTAGAGGCAGAAGTCTTGATATGGCATAGAGAATGTATTCGACGGGCATCCAGAAAGTACGAGGTCTGCAAGCACACAATTCAAGCTTATTTATACAATGATGAAACACCCTTGGTGAGAGTCACGAAATAGCGTACTAAAATAATCCATCAACTAATGAGATTCTGGGTGGGAAGTGCAAGCTGAAGGTTAAAATGAGCATCTTTGGCGCGAAAGCATTTAATTCTAAATTTCAGAATAAAATTGTAAAATTCGGACCTTTTGCAAGTGAATTTGGGGGATCTTACAGCCCCAAAAATACCACATCAGCATAAATGGATCGAATTGTCAACAGTAGTGTTATAATATTCGAAAAGATTAAAGGTTGAAAAGGCGATTCCCGAAAATATAAACCAGTGACATAAATTTAAAAAGCGAAAGAACGCCATTAGGAATTTAGAAGATAAGAATATGAGAGAAGACAAAGAATGGATGCATCTGCGTCATTGCAAACGATTTTGAGATATGCTATTCAAAGTCCCTAACCATCGGTTACTTTCGTCTCACGAACCCCAACCAGGTAGCCTGCATCTACCAACATGACTCAGTTCGATTGTCAGTTACTTGATGGATTTGTGCCATGTTTTGGTTTGGCCACATTTTGTTTTCTTCCAGCCTCCTCTCACCGAGGCATTCGGTGGTCGAGCATACGCAACACATGTCCCAAACTCCTCAGCTGATGAAGTTTCAATACTTGATTTATAGATCCTTCATCCCTACGTAATATCCGTCTTTTAACGGAAGCATTGCTTACTCAACTGCCCCGTAATTTAAGGGGAATGCTTCAAAGACACCTATGATCAAACGCTAATGACCTACGAATATCCTCGCTTCTACCTGGCCATGTTTCACAGCCATATTGTAAGAGATATCTAACTTTGATCAATCCAAAGTATTGTGCAACCTCACTCATTGTCTTCCGCATGTAATGACCTGCATCCGATAGGGTTAGATTCCTGAGAACTGGGGAATTTAACTGATCATCTTCGGTTGTGATAATAATTTTTAGTCTAAATATTTATATTTATCAAGTCATAAAATGAATGACCAAAGGTGCACATTATTTGAAATGTAAATTTTTACTTAGGAAGTAAATTAACTAGCTGTATTCAGAAGTTGACTTTGTTTCCAGTTAATGTGTGTGAGTGTGTTTATGAGATGCGTTTCAGTACAATACATTTAAGTTATAACATTCGATGTAGTGTATGTGTTTATATGCATTAGGGTTCTCTTATACGTGTATGAAACATGACCGGTAAAGATAGAAGATATTCGTAGGTTACTAGTATTGTATCATAAGTATCTTCAAAGTATTTCTCGTCTACTCTGGGACCATCGAGTGAGTGATCTTGGGGTTATGAAACGGGTACTCGGTAAGGGTGGCAAATAAATTGATGAAGTAGTAGTGAAGTAATCGGCATATATGCCCAACCACCGACTACCTCGGCAAACGATGCTGTATAGTGTAAGAGTAGCTGAAAGAAAGTAAGGGGCGACCAAACCACAACATGAAATGAATCCATGGATTTACTAACAAGTGGACTGAGCCAGGTTAGTGGATGTAGACTACTTAATTGTGGCCTGTGAGACAATGGTAACCGATGTTTGAAGACTTTGAATGACATGTCTCAAATTGTGTAAAACATGTACACTCGTTTATTATCAACATCAATCAAACTAAATTACTACTAATTGTTTGTCTTCGGTTTTTTTTAGAATTTTCGGTTTTGTAGCTCGTAAACAGAATACACGAGAAAATATGTGTCATGTGTTATGTGATACACCAGAGTGTAATGCAACGATAATCACTGATTACATAATGCATCGATTAAATGAATATTAAAACTAATTTTATCTGATTTATTGATTGATTTCTGATATATACACAAACATGATCAACTTCATTGATCAATCTATATGTACATACATACATACATACATTCATCCATATTGTATTATCTCCTCTCTATATGAGCATGACATAATATCCAATGCTTATAAACGAACCGTATTATCCAATTGGGAAACATTCCTATAAATCAGAAAACAACCAAAAAACCAAATGAAAAAAAATAGTTGAATTGTAAAATTTTCTTTACACTTTCCCTGCTCTCACTATCTTTTTGTGGAGAAAAAAACATGAAACAAAAACAAAAAAAAACAACTTGTTTTTTTTTGTGACCAATAAATATTTTCAAATTATTTTCAGTCTTCCATTATGAAATTTTAATGATACAGAGAAAAAAAAAGAAGTCGACAACGGGATCCTACGGGGATTTATCGATAATAGAAAAATAGAATTAGAATGCACAGCTGGATTACTGCAATCGGACCAATCATACCCCTTGTTATTATTATTATTATTATCAGTTGAAAAAAAAAGCATAGTGAGACATACATGCATTTATTGATCGATCGATCGATCGATTGATTGATTATCAGAGAATATAAAATTCTGATTGGCTATAAAAATGTGTGTGTGTCTACTATTTATTATCAACCAATCACAGCATCAACAACATGCACACACATATATGCAGTAATGGATGTATATTTTTGGTGTTTGTGTGTGTATGTATGTCAGTATGTCAAAGTACCTATTTATAAAATGTAAAATGCACAAAATCAGTTTATATATAAATATATATATCTAAACTCACAAACACATACGGACACACATGTACAATGAATTCATAAATGTGGCACAAATCATTATCATCTCTGCATACAAAATACCAGAATGATGATATGATTTGACCGTTGTTCAGTGAATAATACTTACAATATTACTACTACTACTACTACTACTACTAATAATAATAATAATAATAATAATAATGATAAATTCTACTGTGATAATTACTTCAAGTACTTTTCAATACATTTTATTCTACTTATATACATACATATATATATTTATTTGTATACTGGATATAAAGAATGATGATATCATTGAACTTTTACAGATTAGAGAATTTGCTAAAACAAATTTAACTGCAATAAAACAATATATATACATATATATATTGAACCGTGTTTCAAAATGAATTTATTCATTTGTTAAAAAAAAATTCACAGATCTATATACTACTTTGTTGATGATTAAGATCATATATCTATATATATAAATATTCAATGTTCAATAATGATAATAATAATAATACTAATAATCGTACATATATGCGCGCATAACATAAAACAAACTAATATAGTTCTTTGTTACTGATTACTACAAATGACCACACTCAGTTGAACAGATGATATTCATTACATAAATTATTTTTAAACATTTCTATGATTATTATGATTATTATTATTACTATTATGCAAACACAAAGCAAGTAAACACACAAACTTGAATTTTTGGCACATTGAAATTGTATGAACTGTTTTCTAGCTGTTCTTTGTTCTTTTGTTTTTTTTTAAAGCTGATACTTAATTGAGGAGTTAATAAATAGGTTGTATACTTACTTACTTACTTACTTACTTATTGATCACATTCACTGATGTTTTGTTTCCGATTTCCTTTCTATCTATCCAAACTAACTTGTGAAGAAGATGGGATGGTTTATATATATATACATATATAGCATTAGTAATATACGCACAATTTGACTGATTCTATCTAGCGCTTTTTCAAATTATTTATTTGTATGTTGAAAGTAACCTTATGTATAAATACAACAATATATATATATATTTATATATATATATATACATATATGCATACAATTATATATATGATGCATACAAGTTGAATTTTTCCGGGTTGTTTTCATTTGAGTTTGTATAAAAAATACTTGATAATTTGGCCTTGAAATATCAAGGTCATTGGGGAGCGTGTAACCGCGGTATTCGAACAGTTTTGACAAATCATATCTGTTGCGATGTAATGATAATATAATAAGCGAACTAAATGAAGAATACCGGTAAAACGTACATATCATTCTGAATATGAAATTATCAGGAGTAATAAGATTTTGGATAGTAAAGGCGACAGAAGACTTTAGCATTGAATATGTTTGTAGGGATAGAATCTATTCATCAGATATAAATACGATTCCCTAAATATGAAAGGAAACATCTTTATACCTGTATTCTAAACCAACCTACTTATTGTCTTGCAGTATTGGAGCTTCTTTCGTCTAACTGGATAATACCGTTTACTGAATACCCTCTCGTAAATAGAGACCACACAACAAACTTTTTCCATTGTTTCAAACTAACAAATGAGGTTGTTTGTGTTATGTTCGTCATTAGGTATGCTTGAAGCTATTATGAGTTCACCTTAGTCGATAAACGCGAACGAGACAACTACTAGCGTCCAGATAGGCTACCTTGAATCCCAAGCTGTAACAGAAGTCTTTGTAAGCGTAAAAGGATATTCTACAAAAGATCCAGGAAGCACAACACAATCAAGCACACAACTCTCGTTTATTTACACATCATAGAAACGTCCTTGGGACAGTTACGAAAATAGCACAGTAAAATACACAGCAGCGAGTCACAGCCAAGGATGTTACTGGTGAGAAATGAAATCTTAAGGTCAACTGATCAACCCATGCTGGCAAACGTGAAATCCAAAATTAAGGCATTTATCAAATGAGTTCTGGGGATCTAACATCCTCAACAGTTTGATACGGCTATTCAAAAAATTTTGATTAACATATTAACGGTAGGAAACGTCGTCATCGATTTTTTTAAATTTTTTCTGAGATACTGATTGGCGCAGTATATAAAATGCAATTTTATCACATGTGCACTTAACTAGAGGAACACTGAAAATCAGACAGAGTGTGCTGGACAGTTCCTGGAGTTTTAATGAGGATAAGCCATGGTGTCTATGTTTGTCAAAGATGAGGCAGTTACCTATTATTAGCAATAATGAAAGATGGTCAAGTAATATTGCGAGTCGATGCGGAAGTTACATATGTTTGTTGACTGTTGAGTATCATTGTTCACTACGATACTGAAATACTTGAATTTCCACCTATGATGCTGTCAGTCGTAGAGCAGCGCACTATTGAATAGTTCCATGCTTATTAAGATGAAGCATATATTTATCTCTTTCAGATTTCAACTCCACATTCTAAAGTAATGAGATATTTAAAACTGATTGGTCACTAACTTCATGACTAGGATTCATATAGAATTATCGCAGTACTAAATGATTATTCAAATATGACATTAGCTTTTTATTCACGGATCAATCAACTGTACAGCTCTGAATCACAAATACTATTGAATATAAGACCAAAGTACGTTCTTAGTTTCATTATTCACTCTCAACCGTAGATGCTACTCTTAACGAAATGGTTTGAGTTGCCTATCGTCATGAATCAACAGAGTTATATTGGCTGGAACATACGTTCCTTCAGGTGCTGCCAAGCCAGGCAGGCCCATTGGAGAACGATAAAACGGTAAAAGCAGTAACTTCAGGTGTGAAAACGGAGTTGTACTGTTAACAGCAGTAAGGTGTTTCCCTTGGACAACCAACATCTGCAGCGATGCTGCATTCTCATATGGAAGGAAGGAGTTAGAAAAGTTCGACCTTAACAATGTCACACGTCACCTTACCTCACGGATTTCCATCTCCAGCGTTAAGGCATTTTACACAAGAGCGGAGCTAACAGTTTAAAAACCGCGCACAAGAAAGGCCATGTGTGACCGGCCTCAAACAGTTATCCGTTGTGCTCTGCGGTCATGCTCTCAGCTCGCTATGACTTACACTAATCTACCATCTGTTAGGATATCCATCCAATATCCTAAGAGAGTTATTGGTCAATGCTTATTGGTTAATTCCTACTGGTCAATTTTATGGTCGTCCTAGATATCAATGTCACATGCTCCAATGTTGTTTCTTATTGGTTGTCCTGACTATCAATGTCACTTCAAATGTTGCTTCCCATTGGTCGTCTTAACTGTCAATGTCAGACTTCGATGCTGTTTCCTATTCGATCTGACTGTATAAATACGCATTATCTGCACCGTTTTATGACCAGGACCAGGATCCGGTCCCGGATCCCTAGTCCAGCATCCTGATTCTCTTCTGAACTTGGACCTCGTACTTCCTGGATGCTTGTAGAATACATGTTCTACTTCATATCATGTCTTCTTATTTTTACTAAATATGGGGGTTGGAATAATCGGATATGAGTAGCATGTTGTGTTACCGGATCCTCGATTCTTACTCACGTTTTCCGACTAGGTAAACTCGTAATAGTTCAAGTATATCAAGTTGGCATGTTTACGTGCAGGCGTAACACCTTCCTTTTCAGCTTCCTCAAAAAACATTCTTCCATCGTGTGGGCAGTCGGGTATTTAACATTCGCCCTCATACTGCGTAACAGCACACAAAAACCAAATCGATCACAATCAAATCCTTCATATACCTGATGACTATTCCCATACCAGGACGAAATGGCCGTCCAGTGTTTCCAGGTTTCTAATGGTGGTCTGACATTGATCGATTCATGGTTTCAAAAATGTGTAACTTAATAGTCTTCAAAACCCCGTAATGCAAATTACCCGTGCTCACTAGTGACTAGCTTCGTGAGGAATCTTCTCCGAGTTCTAGTGGGAAGACGTGACCACTGAAGTTCAACTTGTTCGGGTGTAGACAGTGTCTACCGAAGACTGTGTATGAGGTTGCGCAACTCCGTGAATTGATCAAGTTAGACATTAACACCGTTAGATACCGGCTCAGTGGTCCGATGGTTAAGCGTTCGCCTACAATACCGAAGGTCCTGGGTTCGAATTCTGCGGGGTGCAGGAGTCGTGGATGCGCACTGTCATACCAGGACGAGACGGCCATCCAGTGCTTCCAGATTTCTAATGGTGGTCTAACACTGATCGATTCATTTTCTCAAAAAAATGTGTAACTTAACAATCTTCACAACCCCATAATGCATATTCCCTGTATGTTTACAATGAACGCGAACTAGTAAAAAAAAAGACATAATAACTAGTAATTATTAAATATGTATTGTATCATTTTATTTTATTTGCATAGAAAGTGTAATTTTTTTTTGTTTATTTTTATTGTCAAAATTCAAGGTTCTAATACCCACAACACATTAAATAAAATCTAAACATTGTAAGAATGATAAGCTTATTTCATTCTGATCATTCAAGCATAATTTGAGAGAAAAAAATTATTTTTTTATGTAAACATAAATGATTAATAAGTGATAATAATCTCAGTAATAATGAGACAATATTATAAATCATTTGTCACATATATAATTGCACCCTTATTATTTATTGTAAGGCATTATTAGGTAAAAACAGATCAAGGGATAATACTTTTTTTTTTCAATGATAATAAAGTAGTGAGGGCAAGAGTTAAAATCAAGAGAGGCAGGCAGGCATACAGACAAACAGGCAGGTGGGATAAATTTCGATCAGAATTAATTTCCAGTAAGTTCAGCAAAAGTTGAATCCAATTCTTCACTGAGTGCTTTATATTTCTCTTTCTCAGTGACCAATTCATCTGTGAAATTGTGAGGGGAAAAAAATAAATAAATAATGCGGTATTATAAAATGATTAATTTGTGTTTCAGTTGGTTATAAGCAAAGTTTAACGATGATATTGATTCATCAACAACAATCTGTATAATGAAAAATCGTACAATGTAGCTAGCTCACTAGTGCCTCCTAACTTTGTGAGGGATTTTCTCGAAGTTCTAGTGAGAAGACGTCGCGACCAATGGGATTCAACCTCGTGTGTCGGGTGTAGGCAGTAACTACGGAAGACATATGGGTGAGGTTGCACAGAAAATCGTTATGTTGAGGTTCGCGAGCTAAATCGAAGGTCTTGGGTTCGAATCCTGTGAGAAACAGGAGTCGTGAATGCGTGCTGCCGCTGATGAGTCACATACCAGGATGAAACGGCCATGGAAATGCAGTTAACGTGTGAGTTGTAAGTAGGTAGTATGCTCCTACCTACAAGCGTTATTCTAATAGTTAATGACTTACGTGAATTGATTCTGCATTCGTATGACTATTTCTAGCTCAATACTACACCAGGCAATATTAAGAATCCAGGAAGACGATGAGTGAATATCATCAATACAGTATAAAACTCTCAATCAAGTCAATCAATGTAGTTTCACATTCTTATCAACTGATATGCTATTTTTGTCTAGGACTTTGAATTTATGCTCATAATTGCTAAATAGCTGATCTTACTAACACTACTCCACTGGTGTTTTATAAAAACGTATAATGTTAAATACTGGGAACAGACGAATGGATTCTATTTTCAAATGCTATGTTTCATAGCCATTAAGTAAAGCTGAGAGAACTGTTACTGAATATACTCATCTCTTGATTGTTAGATGGACATCTTGCCCAGATGAAGTACGATTTGTCAGATCGTTTGCTTAAGGTACCAAATCATTAGGACTAGTAAGACTGCTAAGATCATGCAAGCAGTTAGTACCTTCTTTCCCTGACATGAAAACAAGAAAATTATCTTTGTCATGAGCTTCTTCTAAAATGTTTGTAGTAAATATTTCAAGAAAAAAAAATTGATTCTGCGTTGATGAATATGCTTTTGGACACACGGTACTCGTACATTCATTGTTGGGATATTTCAAAGATGGTAGATAGTGTCTTTTTATGTGCCAATAACAAAAACTATCTAGTGATGTAACATAAGAAATTTTAGGATTACATCATTAATTCAAGAATAATGCACAAACTGTACACGCTATGGATTTCAATGAGGCGCTTTAGATAAAATTCAAACAAAACTGAACTGTTGAACTTGTCAATTTGTTTGTAAACTAGTTGAATATTCAATGCACACAAGATCAGTATAAACAAGATAGTACACATCCCTTTTTCAATGTTCAATATGTAGTGCGTAGGATCATATGAAACAACATCTCTTGTTTTAATGTATGAACGCTACACATAAGAGCCTAAATTGAAATTTCATCCAACAAGTAGTGATATGCTATAGTACAGTCGGTTGTTTATAAAAGGCAAAATGAAAATCAATGCTCTTTGGTGTGGTCTATTGAATTTTGATTAAACAATGAAAAAGAGAATGATTTAACCTCACAAACCATAAACATCAGCTCGGTCTATAAGCTGACTGTTGATCGAATATTATGTAACTGCATGTCACATGACTCTATGGTAGTGCGTTAATAATTTAATTTATTGATCAAATACCAAGTGTTATATCCTATTTCGTAACAGAAAGTAAATTGTTACGCTTTTCGCTATTATATTAGTATCGAATACATTTTCTACAAGAGACAGACGTTAATTATTTGGAATTTTAGTGTTGTAATGGATGTTTTACAGTACATACTACAATGATGTACGCGTTGCGTAGTCAATGAAAAATATACAACAGTTCCGTTCTCATTCTTTTCTCATAGTGAAAAAATAAGATAGGGGGGAACTGAATTTGAATAGAATCTACATTCGATGTGTTGTCTGATTGAATGTCTGTAATATCCACTTTCATCCTATTCTGAACTTGTTCATCAAACAGAATTCATTTCTTGTGTTCTCTTAAATCCTAAACATTTTCTATTTAAGTTTATTTCACTAGATCCTACTTCTTGAATAATATCTTCTAACCGTAATCTCTCCAATTAATACTAATACTTTTACTACATCTACTACAATGGGATTTGAATTGACAGTTGCCTCTCTGTGCTAATGTGGTATGACAACATGAACAGATGTAGGTACGAAGTTCTACGTTGCTGTTATTTGACAATCAGTGGTATCATTGTAGAGCTAACTGACGACAATGATCAAATTATCATCACCTTCTGACGAGATATGATGAGTCTAGAGACAGACAGATACAACAAAGTACTTCGTACGTGCGTACATCAGTTCAGGTTACCATGCCGTATTAGCACAGAGACACAACTGTCAGTTCAAATCCAGGAAAGATAGCGATAGTAGAAGTATTAGCAGTAATGGAGAAGATTAGGGTTCAAACTTATGATTCGAAAAGAATAATTCAGTGAGATAACTTTAGAAAGCGAAAGATAGAGGTGATGAGGAATTCAGAAGGTTAGAATTTCAGAGTATACAAAGAGTGAATACACTTGCGCGATTGTAAACGATTTTGAGTGATGTCATTTAAGCTCGCTAACCATCGATTACTATCATCTCGGTTTGAACTTTAGTATAGTTTAATATTAACTAAAACTAACCAAGTTCTACATTGACTAGAACAGAGAATTGAACATAAATTTGTGTCCTCAATCAACTCTTCTAATGTAGCCTTATAGATAAGTACTAACTGATAACACAATTGATATTGATTGATTGGTAAATGTGAATGATTAGTGTGAAGCGGTTAACATGTTACTACAAACATGTACATGATAATTTCTACATGTATGTATGTATACATATATTAATGATTAATTGTTTTCAAAATACCGCACAAGATCACAATGATTAGACAATAGAAAGACAAAACAGAAACTATGCCAAGGAGAGGAGAACTCTAGCACTCACTCAGAGGCACACATACTCACATAGACACAGAATTTTCAATTAGAGTTATTGAGATTTGTGCTTGTTACACATTTGAAATCATCAATCAATCAATCAGTGTTAGACCACCATTAGAAACCTGGAAGATTGCCGTTTCGTCCTGGTATGGGACTCATCAACAGTGCGCATCCACGACTCCTGCACCACGCAGGCTTCGAACCCGGGACCTTCGGTTTTGTGCGCGAATGCCTAACCTCTAAACCACTAGGCCGGTATCCAACGGTGTGTTAATGTCTAACTCTGATTGATCTAGGGATTTTGTGCGACCTCACCTATTTTTCTTTCGTAATTACTGCCTACACACAACAGGGTTGAACTCCACTGGTCACGTCTTATCACTAGAATTCCGAGAATTTCCTCACGAAGCTAGGTCACTAGTGAGCACATTTTACGATATTTTCAATGAGAGTTATGGAGATTAGTGTTTTTACAAAAGACAGAATTGAATGCAATAAGCATGGGAACGAATGCAAAAAATCTAAAATATGCGCGCGTATACACAATAGAAATTATTTTGGACCGAAAAAAGGAAAATAGGCATTGATTACGTGTGTGTGTGTGCGTGAGGAAGATAAACGAGAAGAGGTAGTTGGCATTAGAACAAATTAATATTATGTAATAAATATCAACAGCATACAAGAAGTTAAGATTAGGCGTTGTTTACTGTTTCACTTCTTGTCTCCCTCTCTCTCTAGAGAACGAGTAATAGAGAGAGAGAGAGCGAGTGACGGAGAAACAGTGAACTAGGAGAGAATAGCGCATTATTTTTGAAAATCTTCTCACATTAACATAACAAAAATTGAAGGTAGAAAAAAAAATAGTAAACTGACAAGATTTGTAGCAGTAGTCGTACTGGTATAAAAATGAAGACAGTTGCAATAGTAGTAGTAGTAGTAGTAACAATGCAGCGGTGTAATTATCTCAAAAAGGCAATGGTTAAGGATACATTCTCTGAGTAAGGGAAGGCGGACAGGCAAATGGGAGGGGATTGGTGGGGAAGAAGAGCATTCAGCAAACAGGGAGAATGCTATTGAATAACAAGCAAGAATTTAAAACCAAGGAAGAAAAATACATGCTGTAAAATGTTTCATTGCATACATCTGTTAACTGGTAGTGGTGTCATGCTTATATATAAAATGTGTACGTGTATCTATCGGTATACATTCGCGTATCCATATATAATTATAGATATACATATATGTATATATACACGAGCCGTTGTTAACAGAGACACACAGGCAGAGAGAGAGAGTAATATGAACTGGCTATTCGCAGCAGATTGTTGCTTTCAAGGTGATGATGTGAAGTAAAGAAAAGAGCATTCATTGTTTGCTCGTGCAAACAAATCCAATCAGATATTCTCAACTTCTGTAAACATTGTTTCCATTTCACGACGAAGATTAGTATGATTCAATTGTTCCGCTTCTAAGGTTTCTGAAGAAAGAAAACAAAACGGGAAAAAAATTAATGCATTTTCATTGGACATCAGTGAATTTGAAACCATGAATCGATCAATGTTAGACCATCATTAGAAACCTGGAAGCATTGAAGTAAGGTCGTTTCGTCTTGGTACGGGGCTCATTAGCAGTGCGCAACCACCACTGCTGCACCCCGCAGGATTCAAACCCAGTGTATTTATCGGATAAATACAATGGATAAAAATGTGGATTTCATGAATTTGTAAGTGAACAACACAAATGAAAGAGACAGGACAGGTTGCGGTTGTTTTTCTTTTTGTTAGATGAGAGAACGGTAGACAAGAGTTTAAGGTGATTATATAACAACAACAAGAACAACAATACCAATGAATGGTGTCACGTTATAGTCAGTTACATATGCTATTACGACTGCTTACATTGTAGAAGGATGTTTCTTGAGGAACCTGAGAAGACAGTTGGATTAGTGTTGGTCTTAGAGACCTGGGAGCATGAACGCAGAGCCCAAGGGACAACTTCTTAAGACCGATCACCACACATGGGCTTTTTATGAGAAGTTTGTAAAGTGTTGGCCCTGCTCTTCAAGTGGCGTTACGCCGTGAGACGGGAATCCGTGAGGAAAGGTGAGGTGTGACATTGCTAGGGTCAACCTTTTCTAACGCCTTCCTTCCTTATGAGAAAGTGATACCGTCACAGAGGCTAGTTATCCAATGAAAACACTTTACTGCCATCACAACCCTCTACTGTCAGCAGTACGACTTCGCCCTCAAACCTTCTTAACGTTCTCCAATCGAACTGTCTGGCATGGTAGGACCTACAGGAACATATGTTTCAGCTAGTATAGCTTGGTTGAGTCATCGCGATAGGCAAGCCCGACTACCACGCCAAGGTAGCAGCTATTGTCAGACATCTTATACTATAAGTGCACACTTTTAAATCTTAAGTTGATCATTGATAATCTACGGTTAATTAACTTGCTACAGAACCTTAACATATCGTGAATTCAATTCCTCGACATGCATTGTAGGTGTGTACAGCTATAACTTAAGACAAAGTAGTCATTTCTTAACTTTCTACAACAATACAATTGATTTTTAACTATATTGCATAATCTTTCTAACCGTGAAAAAAGGAATAAAGAGAGCACCATTTAGTATAACAATCGATAACTTCTTAGATCTATGTCATATCTTGATAGAGAAATATCTTGGTTGATATCTACCCTTAAGCTCTGTGGTCATAATTTCTTGTTAAAAAGATCAATTTCTTTTTCAGGTCCTCTAACAAGAGCTATCTCTCCAGATGAGTAACCAGATAATGAAAACCGCCGACATATGTTTAACAGCATTAGACTTAACCATAAAGTTTCACAAGGTAAGATTTGTTGCAAACCACTCATGACAGTAACAGTGAAGATGTAGTCATGTGAAGTAACCAGCATCTGCAGCGATGCTGCCTTCTAACAACGAAAGGAAAGGTTTGGAAAAGGTCGACCCTACCTCGCGGATTTCCGTCTCCGGCGGGTAACGTCTTTTAAACAAGAGCGGAGATAAAACTACAAACTTCTCATGAAAAGGTCGTGCGCGACAGGCCTCAAGCAGTTATCACTTGGGCTCTGTGGTCACGTTCCCGGGTCGTTAAGACCAACACTAATCCATCTTCCTTTTCATGTTCTTCAAGAAACACCCTTCCACGGTGTGGGCAACCGGGAAGCGACATCCTCCCTCATACCCGTAGCAGCACGCGAGACCGAATCGGTCACAAACAAATCCCTCCTTCACCCCCTAACATCTCTCTTATCTCCACGACTAACTCTTCTCACATTTCTTTATCACGCTGCACCGCTGACTGACTTGTTAAGAGTATATAACCTTCAATTACTAAATGACATTACAAATCCCAACTTTGTATGGTTTTAAATTTAGACAGCTATAGTTTAGCACTGACTGGCCTTTCATTTCTTCTTCTTTGACACAAACGAAAGTGTAGTTTCAAGTTGAGTACACATTGAATTACATTACAATGACAATATTCCGAAAATATACCGGGGTGGGGGAAAGAAAAAATTGGTACCAGTAGAAAATTTCACTCTCCACTACACACACACGCACACATACACTTACCTTCTAATTTGCACAATTCAATCTGCTTCACCTCCTCTAGATGACTTGCTTCTTTAACTCGTCGTTCAGCCTGGAATCATTTCATTCGGGCGATAGGTTTTGGTGGAAAGATGATGAGCAGAATAAAAATAGAGGAGAAGGGAAAAAACATTGGCAAGCATTCATTCCATGCACAAATGTATAAATACATGATTGACTATAATAAACGGGAATTTTCCAATCTCTCTAAAGCATCATCAAGGCAAAATTTAAAAAAAAACCAATTCACAATTGTTGTAGTTGTGGGTATGCTGCATACGCATGTCTGCATGCATGCCTATGTGTATAAACTTAATTCGGTTTACCTTCAAGGCGATCAGCATCAGCTTGTAAAGTGTTAACAAGTCGTTCAGATTCTTGAGCTCGATCCTCGGCCTAACAATAACAATGTTAATAATAATAATTGTTGTAATTAAAAATCTGAGAGATACACTTTCCATTTCATGGAAACTGTAGTGTCGGTCATTTCATGCATGCAGAATGATTGAGACATGTGTGCTGCTCTTCTGATATTGACAATTTACTGCAACATGCCATTTTTAAACTAACCAATAGAAATTTGGAAAATATTTTCTTTTTTTTGAAAAAATATAATAAACACGACATTTAGTTAGCGAATTTACTGAATCATGCACTGGAGAGGATTTCTGGGTTCCGGGTTTGCGTAGTACGAATCATGCATAATCAATGGTTGAAGACCTTAATAAAAATGATTGGGTACATGATAATTATGCCTCTATTCTTGCACGACCAGTAAGAGTAGAGGATATTCATAGGTTGCTAGTATACGATCATTGGTGTCTTCGAAGCGTTGCTCGTATATACGGGGACCACTGAGTAGGTAGTGCTATAGTTAGGAGACGAGTACCAGGTAACGACCGCAGATCAATAGATGAAGTAGCGAAATTTCATCAGTTGGATATGAATTACAAATGCCCAACCACCGACTGCCTCGACGAGCAATGTCTTGTGGTGTAAGGGTAGGTTGGAAGAAAGCTAGGGGAGGCCAAACCAAAAACAGCACAAATCAATGATGTAATCGACAATTGGGTTGAGCCATGTTAGCAGGTGTAGACTAACTGATTGGGGTCCTCGAGATGATAATAACCGATGGTTAGAGACCTTGAATAACATGATTCAAAATCGCTTGCAATGCAGCAGGTGAACCCACTCTTTGTGTTCTCTCAAATTCTAATCTTCTGAATTCCCCTTAACCTCTATCTTTCTCTTTCTAAATTCATTTCACTGAATTATATGTATTGATTAATTTCTTCGAAACTTAAACTCTCCGATTACTGTTTATACTTCTATTATCTCTACCACTATGTTATTCGAGTTGACAATTCAATCTCTCTGTGTTAATATGGTATGGCGACTTGAACTGATGTACGTATGTACAAACTTCTACGTTGTCGCTGACTGACTATACTTCTACTTCACTTTCTTTTAGTGAATACAAATGTACAAGATTATAAGACAGACACCCTAAAACATGGCAGAAATCCATGAAGTCACTGACAAGTGGACTGAGTCATGTTGATAGATGTAGGCTATCTGGTTGGGATCTGCGAGACGATAGTCATAGATGGTTAGAGACCTTGAACGACAAGGCTGAAAATCGTTTGCAATGGCGCAGGTGCATCCACTGTTTGTGTTCTCTCTAATTCTAACCTTTTGAATTCCTCATCATCTCTACCTATCTACTTTATCTTACTGAATTATACTTCTCGAATCATATCTCCGCTCCCTAATCTTCTCCATTACTGCTAATACTTCTACTATCACTATCACTCTTGGATTTGAACTGACAGTTGCATCTATGTGCTGATGTGGTATGGCAACCTGAACTGATGTACTTACGTACGAAGTTCTGCGTTGTATCTGTCTGTCTGTCTATAAGACAGACACCAATAGCGACCAGTTCATTAGTTGAATTTTTAACGGAATAACCAGTATTTCCATGCAAAATTGACTAGAGCGATATTAGTAGTAGGAGAATTCAAGTCGCACACGTTTCATCCTATCTGTGGCTTATATATCAGATGAAATCACCACCCTCAGTAGGTCTTAACAAAAATAACTACTTTTACAAATGAAATTTTCGGATAAAAAAATATATTTCTTCAGGAGTTAATTTAACCAAGAAACCAGGGAAAAACAAACGGCAAATACCTCAATTAATTGTTTTGATAATGAGGCAAGTTGAGATTGATGATGACTACGTTGTTTAGTTAACTATATCCAAAATTGTTTGTTATTTTCACCGACAACATGCAAATCGTTAATGACCGAATATTGATGAAAAATGTTATAACATATCATGCATATAACAAACATGGAAAAGAAAACATGGATAAAAACTAAATATTATCACATAAAAAAAATTCATTATTTAGTTAGTATTAAATGAAACTGGAAAACCAAAAGATGTCTGAGCATGCGCAGCTTACAGCTTTTAAGCGCTCAGTTAAATCACGAATATTCTCTTCATATGCCTCTTCACGTTGAGCTGCCTAGAATGAATCATATACATACATACATATATGACAAGTCAAATAAAATGTTGGACTGAAAAAAAATGCTGTGTACTAGTGACTCCAGGAGTGCTCATTGATGTATGTCACTCTATACGTTACTATTTATAGTCGAGCTACCAAATGCCCTAGTTAGGCCGACAGTGGAGAAAGTTCATTCTCTTTCTGAATGCTTTCACATGACCGCGTGTGTTTGGCCATCGACATAAAAGTCCTGCTCACTGCATCTAAGGGAGTCGAGAAACCTTTAATACGAACTAATAGTGCACATGGCGTACGAACCTATTGTTGGTCAGGGGCTACTATGGGACTGCATCTTACCAAGTTGCTCCAGTGCCTTGTGCATTGGACTCTTGGATCAAAGGCTCATGGTGTGGTGTCCTAAGAAAGCCATCTGCTTCCGTGTCCATATCCGGGCAGTATCATAGCTTACTCACGTATTCAATAACTTATGTGCGGCATTAATATTTAGGATACTTTTTGCAACAATGTTTACATTTAAATAAACAATAAATAAATCTGTCCACGGTATTTCAGTGTTCGATCTTAAACACAATGGAATGGTTTGTACGGTACAGCTGCGAAAAAAGTCACCGACAGGACAAAGATGCAATTAATCATTATATTTCTCAGAAATTCTCCACAATTATTTGGAAGTTGTGGAGAATGTTGAGTTGCATTGAAATCATGCATTGATCATTGTTAGACCACCGTGAGAAACCTAAAAGCAATAGATGGCCGTTTCGTCCTAACACGGGATTCATCAGTGGCAGTGCGTATCCACAACCCACGCTCGCGCGAATTGAACCCAGGACCTTTGGTCGCGCGCGTGAACGCTTAACGTTTAGACCACTGAACCGGCATCAAACAGTGTTCATTTCTAACTTCAAACAATCAACGGTATTGCGCGACTTCACCCATTAACTTCGGTGGGTAACTGCCTTAATTTGATTTAGAATTCATGGAAAAAATTTTCAGATCTTTTTTTTCAGTCAGTGATTTACTTTCACCAGTTTAGTTGATGTTTCGACTATGGGTTTTTTCCTTCTTAATCATTAATAAATACAAGATGTATGCATTCCACAGAAATCATATGTATAACTGGTGTAATCAGAATTTCATTGGTCATCGAGGGTGGGCAAACACAGGCACTTAGCCCATTGACTATAAATATATTGTTTCCTTTCTTGTTAGTTTGATTTCGTATGGGACTCTTAGCCGACATGCATTCATGACCTCGCAACCGAGAACTTACAACATTTGATCTTGTGAGTATAAATGCGTACAACTGGTATTTTAATGTCTAAAAATATTGAGACATGGTGAAACACTGTCAGTAATGGTATTCTTCTTTTGGGAAAGCTAGAATGAAAAAATCTAGTAGACTCCCAATTTTGAGATCAAGAGGCTGAATTCTGTAAAGATCTATCGCTCCAAGTCAAGACCGGTGAAAAATAAAGTTGCTTACTCTAACCATTTCCATTTCTTCTGGTGATCGACTGGATTATGAAGATGTCAACATCTCAGGGGAAGCAAGACATTCAGAGGACAGCTAGGATGTAGCTAGATGATTCGGACTTATTAGAAGACCTAGCACTTCTTTCCCATACACACACAGCAACAAATGCAGATGAAGACGATCAATGTATCAGCAGTAGGTCTGAACATACACAAGGGAAATAGAAAGATTCTACGACGCGACGCACACTTGATGGAGAAGCTTTAAAAGATTCGGAAACTCTTCCACATTTGAACAGCATAGTTGATAAACAAGGTGGATCTCATGCAGATATGAAGGCATGGATTAGCGAAGAAAGAACATTTCTACAATTGAAGAACATATGAACTCAAAACAACCGCCAAGCAACACCAGAGCCAGACAGTTATATTGGATGGAGCAGAAACTTGGAGAACCACGAAAGCCATCATTCAAAACATATGGGCATTTACTCATAGTTGTCTACCAAATACACTGAAGATCCGTTGGCCAGACACCATCAGCCACAGTCTACTATGGGATACAACAAACCAGATTGCAGCTGAGGAAGAAATCAGGAAGAGACGCTGGAATTGGATAGGACATACATTCTGGAAATTACCCAACTGCATCATGAAGCAAGCCCTAAATTTGGAAACCTCATGGGCAAAAGAAAACAGGTAGATCAAAGAACATGAGAAGAATAAATAGCAATCGGGTAGCAATCGAAAGGAAGGCCTACGGCAGAGTTGATCGAAAAACGCTAGTCGACGGCCTATACTTCAGTAACAGTAACAGGAGTAAGTAACTAGTAATTTTTTTTAATCTGATAGTATCCAGAAGTTGTACAATAAAATGAAATCATGAAATCCATACTCTACAATCAACCACCTCTATATGTCAAAGTCACATTGCAACTTCATTGATAGAATTTCATTACTCATAAAAAGGTGACTACACAAGTAAGGCATTAGTCATAACGCACTAATCAATTAATTGTACTTATATGTAAACATATATTTATATACAGACAAAACATACAGAAGTTTACTAAGGAAAAAAAACACCACAGAAATACCTCTTGTTCAGATATTTCCAAAGATTTTACATTATTACCAACAATGCGTAATTCTTCTTCAAGTTCTGTAATTTTACTATGATAAACAGATTATTATTAATTAAATAGATTTTGTCATTGATTTGTGTCATACACACACAAATGAGATGCACAAAGATTTTCAAGCAGTAGCAAAGATGGTAAATCATCATGCGGAAATAAAAAAAAAAGAAGACTTCACTTCAATCAGGCATGCATGTATAAACGTAGTTCTAAACCATGAACAGAGAAAAAAAGCAGAAATGATTGGAATCTGTGGGTGTGTGTGTGTGTCACACATACACTAGGTCGATTTGTTCAGTTTAAATTGATCAATTTGATTCAATGTTCCAATGTGATTTAAACAAAATACTTTATGATGATAAATAAATCTTATCCATAATATATATATATATATACATGTATGTATATTCATATAATTATCAATACAAACCTGTGATTCTTGATGTTCTAAAGATTTTAACTGACCCATTGTACCATGAATGATTGACTGTAATTCTTTTAAACGACTATGACATACATGTGATGGCATTGGACAGCGTCAAATTTAAAGTGATAATTGTAATCATATAGATTTTTCCAATTTTACAGAGTATAATACAGACACACACACACACACACCATTGATAGGATAACATGCAATAATATGAAAAAGAAGAGTAAAATAAAAAGAGATCAGCGGTTACTAAAAAGCAACAACAATAACAACAACTAGTGATTTCAACTTTGAAAGAAAGTCCCTAAGCTATGCTACACTAATTCAATGAATAACAAAAACATTAATCTGAATAAGTGTATAATTCTTGTCAATATCTCATCGAGATATTGATTGATTTTCAGTTATCAAGTGTGCTGAGTTCGAGACCTGCACTATTTTTTACTTGTTCAGTAATTTATATCAAAGTATCTAGAGTGTATATAAGTTGTACATTCAACTGAACTACTATGATTTCATCAGAATGACAGTTTTACATACTGGATGGCATTAAGTTGGCAGGGAGGATGAGGGAGTCTATGCCTACATGCACATAAAAATTAATTCAACCAACAAGTCATGCACTAAACTGAACTAAACCACATGACTAACATGCATCCCATAAAAGTTGGTTAGACAGTTAGTTGGATTTTGGTACAACCAACTGTCACGCACACACACACACGTATAAAACACTCATCAACTGATGATAATGAGTAATGAAACGCCTTCCTTTAATTTTCTTCGATTCTTTGTCTATTTTCTCACATCCAATTACTAATTTATTGTACACTGGAATGGAATCGCTCAACTATTAAACAACAAACATGCATAATTTGATCAATCTATCGACTAGATTTGTCCAATAGAAGAAATATGATCCATAATCAATCAATAATGATATATTCATAATCCAAAAACTAATATTGTACGATTTCAATGCAATTCATTTTGTTTGTTCTTCCATCATTAATCTAACATATTATTACATGACATGACAATCATCAATTCATTTGAACTAAGACTACAATAACTACAGATAAAATAGTGCACACTATGAAGAAGTATGGAAATCACCAGTTTCACCAATAAATCTAACAACAAGTACTAGAACAAGTGGTAGTAGTAGTAGTAGTAGAAGTAGTATTAGTACCTTTCTGCAGCTTCAATCCGATCTTCCGCATGAGATAGTGCGACTTCAGCAACCGCAAGTTTTCGTGTGGCCTGTGAATGACAGCCGAATTTATACACATATACATATATATATATAAACATATATAGGTCAATCGAAACGAATGAACACAGCATAAAATTAAGGATTGTAAATATAAGGTGAGATGTACGCGACACAATGATGATCAGCAGCCGTAAAATAAACCAAATTTATTGTAAGCCATGTAAAATTTTGAAAAAAAGAAAAGAGAGAGGAGAAGCACAAAAATAAAGTTCAGTTTTTTTTTTTGGTTTGTACTTGTACACATGCCTTGAATTAATTTTTACAATCAAAAAGTTATACATACAACAAACACAATGACATATGGGAAGACAAAAAATGTGCACCAAGTGGAAACTAGCATGCTACACATACGCATATTTATATATAGATATATAACATATACATATATGTGTACAGTCGACATTGGTGCGTAACTTAACGAATGTAACAGTAGTGGTAATAATAGTAGCGGTATGAAGGAATAACTACCTTTCGGCAGCTTCCAATCGAGACTCAGCCCGTTCGAGTTCCACTTCTGTGATAGCCAACTTACGAGCCGCCTACATATATACACATACATATATATACATAACAAGTTAGATTGATATATTTTATTAAAGAAAAATTCAGTTCATTCTTTTGCTTGTCATTAAAATCATTAGATCACAATCCGAACAGTTGATGCAATGCACTGATACATAAATTGCAAATAACAAGCTGTTAGTGGGACATAGATGGGATTAAAGCATGACTACGTTGCTGCGCGATGATTGGCTAATTTCCTATCCAATCAGAACAGGGTAGGAAATTCTCGTGTTGTTAGCTGCACGCGGATTGGCTAAAGCTAATCCAGTCGATCACGTGAATTACTATCCAGAAGCTTGCTTCGTATTTCCATTTAACCTTGCTGTTTGGAATATAATCTTTTCCTGTTCAATCGTGTTTTTGATTCTTTGGAACTTGTCCAGTGTATTGTGGTCAGAGAATACTAAGCAATAGGAATTAGCCGGGTTTATTTAAGCAAGCGTTACAACACAAGCATTTTCTTCAACACCTCAAAAAACAATAAAACCAAAGGGATTTTCGTTATAGGGTAATGGAGATTGTCCAGATTTTTCTGTGAAATCATGAGTCGATCAATGTTAGATTAACACCATTAGGAACGCGGAAGCACTGCACAGCTGTTTCGTCCAAATATGGGACTCAATAATGGCAGTGTACATCCATGACACTCGCTCACGGGCTTAGTGAAGAAATTTCTCCAAGTTCCAGTGAGAAGTCGTGGTCAGTGGAATCCATTCATGTCGGGTGTACATCAGTTGTTACCCACTAAAAACAGCATGGATGCAGTCGAGAAATATCGGCAGATTGATTGAAGTTAAACATTAACACTGTGGGATATCGGCTCAGTGGTCTAGAGGTTAAGCGTTCGCAAGTGAGACCGAAGAACTTGGATTCGATTCCCGCGAGCGAGGGTCGTGGACGCGCACCGCTGATGACAATTTCACAATTGTAAAACCATATTGAGGATGAGACATTCTATTCTTGACTTAATAACTTGGCTGCACTTATTGACAAACATTTTAATCCTGGTAGTATGCGTACAAACTAGGTATAGGGGTAGACAATCACTGATTAAACAAAATAACATTTTACTTTGAATCATCGATGAGATTGTAATCTTCACTAAGAAATCAAATGATTCAATTTTCATTAGATTGGGAGATAGTGAAGTTGAGGTGAGGTGAGGTGGTGGGTAACTAGCACTACCACTACTACAAAGCAAAATGTACAATTTAATTGGTTAAGATTTATACAAAATGTATAAATGCATCTATCTAACTAATCATATTCACTTTTGAATAGGTAGGTAGGTAGGTAAGTAGATAGATATGTCAAGTACCGGCAGCATGCAATTGTAATGTAGTAAATACACCTGATGATGATGATGATGATGAAAGCGGATGAAAATGACGAGACTGTAATTTATAGATGAACAAGTTATGCAGTCCATTAATTTAGTCGTTTTCAACATGACAAATGATCATCATGTCACCATCCCATTTGTGGAGAAAATAACATCATCTCCTAACTTGTCTGACATTCTAAATTGAGGTTTTGTTCTCTCCATAAATTACAGTCTCATATTATAGTGTTGTAGTAGTAGTTTTTTTTAAGAAAAACATCATGTGTTCTAGAGAATTTCATGTCATACACTATTGTAAATAAATAATCATGCATTTTAGCAACTATTAGATAAAAAATCAGTTTACAATATATACGTGAATATTTATATATATAGAGAGACAGCATGCATTGTAAAATGCCATTTTTTTTAATAAGACATGGAATGCTGCACCTCATCGTATTTACGATCAGCATCTTCAGCCATAAATGTGGATTCTTTTAATTGTTCTTCTAACTGATTGATACGTTCTTCATCGGCAAATGTACGATTCTCCAATACTTTACGACCACTATGAAATATTACATATACATATATATGAAAGTGATTAAATGGTTTTCCTTGTTTGTTTGTTTAAATCAATAAGTTATGTAAAAAAAAAGGATTGGCGCGAAATTTCCTTTTAAAATCAAAAAAAGGTTTCGAATGAAAAAAAAAAGAAATATCATTAAAACGATTAATGTCAATACAATACCTCCTCGTATTTTGTTTCTGCATCTTTCACAGAATTTGCAGTTTCTTTTACCATCGATTCCAATTGTACAATTCGCTCGTCTTCGGCCGTTTGACGAGCTTCAAGCACTCGACGAGCACTAAGATTATGAATATTATTATTATAATGTCAATGAGAAAACAATTTTAAAACACAAAAATCATACATAATTCCATTCGGTTAAAAGGTTGGCTGATTTTTTTTTCTGAAGATTGGTAATATGATGGTGAAGATGTTCCGTTGATGACTAGACTAATCGGGAAAGTATGCTAAGCTCATATTTAAATAGGTGGATGAGGTGGGTGTTCAATGGATTCATTTAGAAACTGTGTAAAATCCCTAATCAATAGAAAGCTTTTAAAACTTTTATTGATACTGCCAGAATTGATTAGTATGTTTGTTTTGTGAAGGCAGTGCTTGTTTTGTCATTCTTACACAGAGATTTTATTCGTACATTATCTCTGTTAAAACAATGGAAACTTTTCACTGCTACCGAAATATTACCAAAATATCAATCATTCATTTGTGATCAACATAGAGCTCGGCACAAATCTGTGTTAGCCCCAAGTTGTCACATCATATCAACATGAGATGAAAGGAGCTGATGAAATAACGTAATAGAAATTAAAATGAGCGCTCTGAAAAGAGAAGGAATGAAAAAGTATGCACGAAAAGAAATATACTAGAACTCGATATCTATAGCATGCTAAGGAATGAATCTACTCATGCCATCGTGATCGATTTTCAGCAATACCATCTAATGTCTCCAGTCAGTTAGACAGTCATCTATAACGTAGAACTTTGTATTTATGTACATCAGTTCACATCGTCATACCACATTAGCACACAGAGAGATACAATTGTCAATTTAAATCCGATAGTAGTAGAGTTTGTAGCAGTATTAGTGGTAATCGAAAAAAATTGGGGATCGAATAAATTATCATTCAAGAAGTATCTCCCAGTGAAATAAATTTAAAAAGAAGAAAGATAAAGGTGATAAGAAATTCAGATTACGATTTAGGAGAGCACAGAGTATGAATACAACTGCGCCATTCCAAACGATTTTGAGTTATGTCATTCAAAGTCTGTAACTACCCCGAACAGGTAGTCTAAACTTACCAACATGGCTCATGGATTTGTGCCATGTCTTGGTTTGGCCAACCCTGACTTTCTTTCAGCTAACCTACTCAATGGTTCTAGGATACACAAACACTGCTTCAAAGACACCTAAGCTAGAATAATAAGGCGAAATAGTTTAGTGTGTTAACTAATCAATTAACCTTGAAAGTTCTATCAGTCTTTGTGATTTGATGTTTTGCAAAATTCTAATATCTTGCTTGCTTGGGGACAGGAGGTTGAACAAGTGGGAAGATCACTTTGGAAAATAGTTCAACAATCGTTCAGCAACTTCTCAACTATCCACCATCTCCAAGCCGCCTAAATGGCTAATTTATATAAGCTCTTCAACACCCAATGAGGTTGCAAAGGCTATAGACAGTCTAAAGCAATGAAGAGCAACAGGACCTGATGGATTAACGCCTCGTATTTTTAAGGAATGTAGTCAAGTTTTAGCAGTGAGATTAACTGAGATCTTATCTCGAATCTAGACAAACTGGAAGTAATCTGATTGATCTCAATCACTGATTATCCCAGTCTATGAGGAAGGATAAAAGTACTCTTCCGACAATTACAGAGGAATCGGTTTTAATACTTTAGTGTCCAAAGTATCAGCTTCAGTAAAACTTGGACACCTAACCAGTGCTCGTGAAGAGAAACTCGAAAAAATGAGGCTGGTTTTAAACTTGTACGTGGATGTACGGACCGAAAATTCTACCACCTCGACGTCCAAAAATTGTTGTATTCATTGACCTGTCATTGGAAGGTGTACTAAAAAAGCCCATTACCCTTATACAAGCTTTCAGTCTCAACACAACTGGTCGAGTCAGAGCTTATGACGAACTGTCATCAGAATTGGTTACTTCAAGTGGTGTCCGTCAGGGGTGTTCATTCCCTCCATTTCTTTTAATTTTGTCACAGACATGCTCCTAGATATAACATTATCTTCGTCACGGTTTTGAGCCATGTCACTAAGGGTCTCTAACCATCGATTATTGTCATCTTGCGGACCCCAACCAGGTAATCGAAACCTACCGACATGACTCAGTCCACTTGTCATTGATTTCATGGATTCCTGCGATGTTTTGGTCTGACCACCCCTAGCTTTCGTCCAAGCTATCCCTACATCGCAAAACATAACTCGACGAGGCAGTCGGTAGTTAGGCATACGTAACACATGTCCCAACCACCTCAACTGATGGGGTTTCATTAATTCCTCTATTAACCTGCCATCCTTACGTAGCACCCGTTTACTAACAACAGCATTGCTTACTCGGCTGTCCCACGATACTTTCTGTGAACAGTCAAGGTTAAAGAGTAAACCAGGTCTGAAGCAATATTCGGCATTTAGACAGATATACACGTATCCTAAACATGCTGGCATGCTTAATTAACAAATAAAATAGCCAAAGATAATTTTAAGTATAACCCAATAGAGTGAAATCAATCAAAAAATAACAGGTACGGCATATGGGATCACAACAACAATGACAAGAGTAGAAAAAGTAACAATCGAGAACCTAGGAAAGTGTACAGAGGAAGATGTTTGTCAACCATGTGAGGAATGATGGATGCGACCAGAATATTGTAACTCATAATAATTTAGCATGCTTCATTCAGGATATGTACAGTTGCAAAATAAACACAGATTTCGTAAGTTAACAAACTTCATTCCATCATCACCAACCCCATTTTACACTGAAAACAAAACCACGGTTTTTATCACATCCGTCTGAGCATTAATCTTTTCTACACTTGCAGTTTCATGTATCTGGAGGGTTTACTTTTCATTCCTTGTAAATTTAGAGGAATAGCTCTAAGTTGGAGCTTTACATTCATGCCAACGATCTAACAAGCTATGTTTCAATAAATGATAAATTTATAAGCTAAAAGCACGAAGTAGAATCTCCACTGGTAATACCCTGAGACATATATGCTCATAGGATTCTATGGTTACACTGCAAAGATAACAGAAAATTCTTAAGTGCTATATTGGTCTGGTCAACTTAAGAAGGACCTTAACAGTGCCATACTAAGAGTAAGCTTCCTCTGTCATCAAGAACAAAATGAAACGAGGATGTGTGAAAGTATTTTACTGTATTCCAATGTTTATCACACTCCAAATCGTGATAATATATTTCAGTTGAGGAAAGTAAAGCATCTAATATAGAACTAACCCGACAATATCAAACCCTAGATTTATCAGATATTATTAAGTGTCAAAATGTTTGTACAGATGCTGTCACATATGACGGATATATCAATACCCACCAGATGTATGATGAAGGCCATTTTGTATATACTAAAACTTTTTCAGCTGCAAAGCTAAAAAGCTTAGTTCCGAGTGTCAGTCTTCAGAGAGAGATGTGAATTTGGGTGGAGCATAATACCGGAGAGGTATTTCCTAGTTTTAATGATCTTGCTGTAGAGGTTTATGACTTGGTAAAACTAAAATATTTATGGTTTGGGTCTATTCAAAAACAACTTGTACAGGAGATTCACAATAACTGTCAGACTGTAAAGCATTCTCAAACAAAACATGCACGAGTAAGGGCTATAAACAACACATGATTTAGAGTGATTGAAAAGTTGATTTTAAAATACTGCAAACTAACCGATCACTTTCATCAGCGGCTTTACTGGCTTCTTCGAGCTTAAGAGTTGCTTCTTGAAGACGAGTTTCAGTGGATTCCAATTCATCTTCCAGCTGTCGAATGCGCTTTTGCAGTGAGGCGACTTCAGCTTCAGCCTAAAATATGGATGAGGATAAATATAGAGATCACTCGATTTCATGTGAATATTAGAGATCCTGAAAAACTATATACCTTGCTTTTATTTTCCATCTCTTTCTTTAAAATGGCCTGTTTACTAGATACTTCTTGTTTAAGTTGGTCAATTTGGAGCTTCATTCCTTGCATTTTAGACTTTACAGCACCGATCACAGGACTCGACATTTTTAAGGTAAGACACTTGTACTACACTTTGTGACCAAAAGGTACAATAAGAACCAAATAACGCGGTCAAAATATTAGTGTAAATAAAGCATCCTCACCTTTCGTAAGGAAACTTTGACAACGTTTTGCAGCTCAACACCAATGATTGCCATCTTTATAAGTGTTCCTGAATTAAGATAAACAGCTGATAAAGCTTCGTCCATTGCAGTATTGTCATCAATGAACTTCGAGCTGCGTCTCCGTTCAATATATTCGTCATCGTCATCGCTTTTGCTCCCGTAATCGGAAAACAAAAGATCATCTGTTTGTTCGCGTGACAAATTACTGCTCTCTGAATAACTCTCTAGAGTTATTTGGTCTTCACCTTCAGGTTCTAACCTCGGTCCTAATAATTCCAGTGGAGGAATACTAGTGTCGATAACATTTAACAATTCATTCTTTTGGTCGCTAAATCTCCAGTCATAAGAAAGGAAGGTTGAAAAGCCTTTAACTCTTTTTGGCTCTTTCTTTATTTTTGAAATGTTCTGATGTTTTTTCCTCATACTTTTGTGCGTTAGATGCCTTAGCTTATGTACTTCAGTTTCCATAGTTGAGCTTTTGCAGGTTTGCAAATTAGACTCTTGAGATGTAGCGTAAAATGAAACTCCTGGATTGGTTCTAGAGTTTTTCGTCACATCCGAAACATTTTCTGGATAGCCATGATTTTTCTACAGTGATGAGATAGGTGGGGAAGTGACATGATAAATGGTATTGCTACTGTGATATCACGGTACTATATAGTACTTTGTAAACCATATATCTCTGGAAAATAGTCAGTCAGTGAGGTGAAACGTTTAGAACTATCCGGCCCAGGCCTTCTGTAAGCAAGCTTTGAGATGGTTTTCGGATAATTTTTGAGATATTCTCAAGCTGTATTGACTATGAAACAAAACGAAGCTTCGAGTGGTCAGTATGTGCTACAAATCACAGTGGAAAGGTAAAACAGAACGAACATTGGTAAGTCAAAGCTTACAAGACTTCAAAGTTCTGCTTCTTATTGTGTTCCAGTGTGAGTTTGCTTCTGTATGTTGCGTCTACATGGAATTCACCGCTCACGATTTCGTTAATCTAAGTTTGCTTCTAGTTCCGATCTGCGGATCGTTTGAGCTCGTGGATTATGTTATTGCTAATCAATGCTTACTGCTTCTCCCATTGAAAGTAATTACATTTTCGGACTAGCTGAGTTGCCGAATCCCCCTAACCTTTCCAGCTCTCCCCAAACTTACTGCTATGCATGCTCTCAGTGCACAAATTACCCTCTGGCTAGATAAGATCCACTACATGTTATCTCATCAATCAGCAGTTTATGCTGTAAGACTTCGTATTGGCGACATAATTTCACTAAAATGTTTTGAAAATTACGTACAATGCTACTAATATCACATGTTTTCGTATACAAGAGTAGTATTATGCAATCTTTTCCATATATCTTTGGCTCCTCCATTTTTACAAACCATTTAGCTTCTGTACAAAAACACTGAGTAATCGGCCTAAGAATACATAGCCAACGTAATTTTTTGTGACTTTTAACCATTCTAAAATGTATGAAAGACTTAAGGGGCTCGTGCGTTTTATTCGACGTTGGAGAGAAAATTTCGATCTCATCTACTCATAGGAAACGAGATTCTTTGTTCAGCGTAAATTTGTGTGTATCTTGCGCTCTAGGCTTTTGTCAATGATATTTAATACTCGCTTAGTTAGGACTTCTTATGATGAAAGGCAAGTTCCTTCGGAAGTCACGAGGCCGATGCCCCTTGAAATGTTCTTACAATATGGAAGACCAGGAGAGTCATCTAAGTTTCTGGAGAACTGAAAGTAGACTACACGTGATACTTGAAGTCAGTAAAACACATTAGGAGCAAGTTGGATAAAAAAATACTAGCTTCAGAGGAGATGCTGTTATACTCCAGCCATCAATAAGAAGATGCCTCACATACACAAGGAGTTGCATTGATGCTTTGCGAAGAAGTCCAAGAACCTCTGTTAGGTAGGGATTTGCATGGACCTGGGATTATCAAAGCCTCCTTCCGAACGAAGATAGAGGGAATCACAATCACTTTCATTCAGTGCTCTGCGTCTACCACAATTACATTGAAGATGTTCTGGATCGATCCTACAAGAGGCTGCAGTCAGTCTTCGAGAAAGCCCAACAAATTGTTTCACTATTCTGATGGGAGACCTAAATACTAAGGTTGGAATGGACGACATAGTATATAAGGACATCCTGAAAACGGCATAGACTGTGAGAAAGGAATGAAAACGGTGAGGTATTTGCAAACCTACGTGCATTCGACAAGATGGTCGAAACAGGAACCACATTCCCACTCAAACGAATAAATAAGGCTACATGCGTTTCACTGGATCACTCAGCACAGAACCGAAAGTTCAGAAGGACGGTGAAGGACTTAAGAACAGTTGAGTCAACCTATGTTCAGATCATCGCTCGTAGGTGACCAAAATGAAACTGCAGCTAAAGAAGCACTGGACAGTGGAGCGGATAGCGAAGGGGGCATTCATGTGAGATGAGTTCAAGACAGTCCCCAGCAACCGTTTCCAGGCCTTTCATGAATGGAGTGGTGGCTACCATGGGGAACATCATGGAAACAGATCAAAGAATCAATCGGCTCAACATGTTGTGAGGTTCTGGACCGTCACATGAAGTGGATCTCTATAAATGCTCTTGACGCGATTCAAGTTTGCTTACTCCCACACTTTCTGGAGGGAAGCACGGGACACAATGTACAGTTCGGACGCAGCTGGACAGTCTGGACATAGCAGATAATCTAGTTCCTCTATCGATGACGTAACAACAATAGGTCCCGATATTAACAAAGAGAAGAGCAAGGTTCTCCGAAACAACACAACATGAACCAACCAAGTTACACTTGATGGAGGATCTGTGGGCCAGGCACCATGAGCAACAACTTCTCTGGTTGAGGAAAAACTAGACTGACAGGGTTAAAGGAAAAGAGGAAGGTTCAGGAACACATTACGCCGAGAAATGGAGACAGACATGAAAAGAATGAATGCTGACTGGATGGAACTGAACAAAAAGACTCAAGACACAGTTGGGTTCGAGTATACTAGTCAATGGGCTATGCTCCATTGGGGGTAACAGGCGTGAGTAATTTAGTTAAGCAGACGTTGCCTTAGGTCTTGAAGTAAGCTCCTTGTCCGTGTGTTGGTTCATAATACAGAAAAACAACACATATCGGGGACCTCGTATAATTACTTTGGCACTTCTCAAACCTTCAGTTTACACTGTGACAAAAATCATAGATATAAGCAACTGTTCCTTAGAAAACAGTCCTGTTTAGATAAAACCCGGATCTGTGCAAGGCGAGTCATCGAAACTAGGATTCGCAAGTTGTTTCATCATGACACAATATGCCAATACATCATGAAGCGATGAGTATATACTATGGAATATTCGGTTTCAACACTCAATGGTCTCTTAGTGCTTGCCGAAATTATGAGGAACAAAGAAATTAAAAACATTAAACATATCCCTTATTTTGAAAACTAAGTTGTTATACATAAATGTAATGGTGAATACAGTGGACAATCAGTAACTTACTTTTAGAAACAGTAATTTACTACTTGTCACGTGTTTATTTTCAATTCTAATGGCTGAAATAGATGTAACCCTTAGGGTATCTCATTCAGGAGCTAAGTGATTCAATTCATAACAATCTTGTTTTCCTAACAAATTAATTTTCGACATTCAGATGAAAAATCTGGACTAATGTTTGGGATGAGACAGCTACCAATAATGTGTCTTTCTCAATAGGAAAACTGAACTAAGCGAGTTTCATTACATATGACTTAGTTCGTGTTACGGCAGTAGTGGTAGTAGTACTTGTTTTAATTATTATGTTTTTAATAGGATAGTGAGGATGAGTGAGCAGTTAGTTTGTTTAAAGGGTACCCGGTCAAGCTGATGAAATATAATCAACCATTTTATCAATAATCAAATATCTAGACAAGTACCCCTTCACTCAAACAATCTTAAATGATGTCTGATACTTTTAAATGAGTTAAAAAAGTGTTAATCGTGTAGTGGAACTATTTCGTCGAAATAATACGATTACTGACGTACAAATACTTATTATTGAACATATGTAACATTAACTGTTTTATTGTATATCATTTGTTTATTTGTACTAAAAGTCACTTTTCGAGCGCCACCCACGCCATCCCTGCGGATCTAACGATCGTCTCGTGTAATCATCGATTGTACAAGCTGAACACGTGATATTATTCTAATATCACTCGATTTTCTATCAATAAACGTTGATATCCTATATACAATCTTCTGTTCTGGAGTTGGTTTGGACGTGTAACCTTCACGCTTCAACATTGGTGAGCCATTGGTCTGGAACGCGCTATTATTCGGATATCTTCGCCACAAAACGATAAAACTTGGTGAGTCTGTCAGTTTTCTATCCATTTATCATATTATTTATTCTGTTGCTTAATACTTATATATAATAAACTAGCAACAGCGATTTAATCTTAATTAACAATGGATAGCGCTAAATGTACTGATATGACAGACTCCCAGATCCAGGTCCTTAATTTTCGACCTGTCTCCTTTATTCCCCACGATCCAGAGGTCTGGTTCGCGACACTGGAGACTCAGTTCGAGATCCGTCGCATAACGAACCAGCGGCTTATGTTTGCCTATGCCCTGGAATCCTTACCTGGGGACCATATAGCGGCTGTTCGTGAGGTCGTCCTCAACCCCAACGCCCCAGATGCCTACAATCGTCTCAAGGAGGCGATTCTGCAGCATTTCCTCCCATCGAAGGAGGAACGCTTGAGGACTCTTTTAGCACGTCACCCTATGGGTGATGCTAAACCGAGCCACCACCTCACGCGCCTGCAATCACTAGCAGGACCGACAGCGGCTAACTCAGATATAGTCAAGGAGCTGTGGCTCGACTCACTACCAGCCTATGTTCAGCCTACGATCGCCGCCCTGCCCGAAGATATGCCGCTAAGCCAAGTTGCACTAGTGGCAGACAGAGTGATTACACGAACCGGCCATCGAGACAACTATACTGTTGCGTCCACGTCACATACCGGCGTGGGCCTCGAGGCCAAACAGGGTAAAGCTCATAAGGATCAGGGTTGCTGTATACACAGCCGTCTGAGTTTTTCAGACCGTTCCAAAGTACCTGAACCCTACGTCCTGCGAGCACGATCGCGATCACGTAAGGCTGTAAGTACTCGCCCCCAGCGGGCATCTTCCAAGCCACGCCAACGAGCGGCTTCGGAAGCGAGTACCGGTTGGTGCTGGTTCCATCGGACTTTTAGGTCCGCCGCCCGCCATTGTCGACCTCCATGCTCATACAAGGCGGGAAACTCCCAAGCCGGCGAGTAAAAGCGGCCCTACTCGCCGGCCACTCACCTCAGGTTGGCCGTTTATTTTACGTGCACGATATCCGCACGAACGCTAGGTACCTAGTTGACACCGGTGCCCAAGTTTCTGTCGTACCATTAGGTAGCAGCAAGTTACAACCTACAATAATTCGATTACGCGCTGCGAATGGCACTGTCATTCCTACCTATGGTACACGACAGCTATCGGTCAACCTGAGCAACCGACGACAGTATCTGTGGACGTTCATCATTGCCGATGTTCCCACAGCTATACTCGGTATCGATTTCCTACAGCACTATGAATTGCTAGTCGATTCACGTAGGCTGCAGCTAATCGATACTTCGTCGAACAGCAAATTTATGGGCTTTCGAGCTCATACAAATGCGTACCGAATAACAGGTTTATTTCATTCGCGTGATGACATTTTCCACGCTTTATTCGAAAAATTCCCCCAATTAACTAAACCACTCGAGGAGACTCCGTCGGTGACCCGACATGTGGAACACCACATCGTCACCCGCGGACCACCAGTCACGGCAAAGCCTCGCCGACTGGCACCGGACAAATTAGCTTTCGCTAAACGTGAGTTCGACAATTTACTAGCTACTGGTATTATTCGTCCTTCTCACAGTCCATGGGCCTCACCACTCCACATGGTCCGAAAAAAGGATGGGATAAGTTGGCGACCATGTGGCGACTACCGAGCACTAAATGTAGTCACGCGTTTCGATAGTTACCCCATCCCCCACATACACGACATCACGGCATCACTCAAGGGCACGACTATCTATTCTAAGATCGATCTGGTACGGGCATACCATCAGATCCCAGTCGCTCCTGAGGATATTGAGAAAACTGCTGTCACGACTCCTTTCGGTCTGTTTGAGTTCCTACGAATGCCATTTGGATTACGGAATGCTGCTCAAACTTTCCAGAGGTTTATCGATAGCATAGTACGAGACTTTGATTTTGTTCACGTCTATATTGATGACTTGTTAATCGCATCATCAAACGTAGATGAACATTATCAACATCTTAAACTCTTATTCCAACGTCTTTCGGATAATGGAATACTAATCAACCCAGATAAGTGCGAACTTGGAAAAGCAGAAATAAAATTTCTGGGTCACGTTATAAAGCATGAGGGTATTTTGCCATGTGAAGATAAAGTACGTACAATCATGGAGTACACTGTACCGTCTTCACTCAAAGAACTGAAGGCTTTTCTCGGTTTGGTCAACTTCTATCGACGTTTCATTCCTCACGCCGCGGAACAGTTACGACCACTAACCGATCTACTTCGCGGGAATCCACGTAAGCTAGAATTGAACGATGACGCACGTACTGCATTTTCCGAAATTAAAAAAGCTTTAGCTCAAGCTACGCTCCTCGCCCATCCCGACCCATCAGCCACGCTCAGTATAGCGGTTGATGCATCCGATTTCGCTATAGGAGCCGTCATGCAACAAAACATCTCTGGAAGTTGGCAACCTCTCGAATTTTTCTCACGACGCCTTACTACCACGGAGATGAGATATAGCGCTTTTGGTCGCGAACTGCTAGCAGCCTACTGTGCCATCAAACATTTTCGGCACGCAGTAGAAGGTCGTAACTTTATCCTTTTTACCGACCATAAGCCCCTAACGTATGCTCTTCATACAAAATCTGACCGCTACTCACCGCGAGAGTGCAGACATTTGGACTATATCTCTCAGTTCACGACAGACCTTCGTCATATTAAAGGCGAGTCGAACTACGTTGCTGATGCTTTGTCACGTATTCAAATGAATGCAGTTACTTCACCAGTGCTCGATCTTCCTGCTATGGCCGCCGCCCAAGCAAACGATCCTTCTTGTTCAGAAGCACAACAGAATACATCCCTTCAGTGTCAGGAAGTGCCCCTAGCTACTACCTCAGGCACTATCCTATGTGATACCTCTAATGGTCTTCCTCGACCCATCGTACCCTCTGCTTATCGTCGTCTCGTCTTCGATGCCCTTCATGGTTTGTCTCATCCAGGTATCGCAGCTACATTACGTCTTATCGCTGCACGATACGTCTGGCCTTCCATGAACAAAGATGTCCGTATGTGGGTAAAGCAATGCTTACAATGTCAACGATCAAAAGTGCACAGGCACGTAGCCGCCCCCATCGGCACATTTGCTACGCCTGATGCTCGCTTCGATCACGTTCATATTGACATTGTAGGACCATTACCACCATCGCATGGGTATGATCACATACTCACGTGCATTGATCGCTTTACAAGATGGCCCGAAGCTATTCCCATCACTTCTATTACGGCGGAAACAGTTGCTCACCGCTTCGTAGAACGATGGATAGCTCTGTACGGTTGTCCCTCGACTGTCACAACTGACCGAGGACAACAATTCGAGTCCGAACTATTCTCCTCGCTAACTCGGCTGCTTGGTACGGAGCGCATACGCACTACCGCCTACCACCCAGCTTCAAATGGTTTAGTCGAAAGGTTTCATCGCCAACTCAAAAACGCTCTTCGAGCACACGAAAACAATAATTGGTACGAAACCTTACCGCTCGTCCTTCTAGGCATCAGAACGAGCTTAAAGGCAGATATTCAATGTTCCGCCGCTGAATTGGTATACGGCACGACATTGCGTCTGCCTGGGGAATTTTTCACACCACGGAGCAGTGATAACTTCAATAAATCAGACTACGTCCAACGACTGTCTGCATTTATGCGAGCACTGCCTCCGGTGTCAACTCGAATACAACATCGACAGGTCGCTCTCCCCCGAGAGTTATCTACCTGCTCACATGTTTTCATTCGAGTTGATTCGGTACGCAAACCTTTGCAACAACCTTACGAAGGACCTTTTCACGTGATTTCTCGTCACGAAAAGACCTTCAAGGTTGCTCGACATGGCCGCGTCGAGGTAGTTAGCATTGATCGTCTCAAGCCAGCACACGTCGATGACAGTGCCCTACTTGCTAATCCGAGACCCAATGCTAGACCTAGCGGGATCCTCAAAACTACCCCGGATCCCACGCTAGCGAAATCAGAAACCTCATTCTCACGTCCCAGTCAGCAGCACGCGCCATCTGCACTATCTACGGATGAGACTCCGGTCTCACGTCCAGATCAGCAGACCACGCCGCACTTGACTGCGGATGAGAATGCAGGCTCACAAGGTACGCACGAGGCCACTGTCTCGCGTTCCGGTCGCCGCGTACGCCTACCTGTACGCTTTCTCGAATAACTACCAATCCTTCACAGGGACGGCATAGGATTTTACCATCATACTACACGCATGCTACACTCTTTCTCCTTTTTCTTTGATTTTTTTTATCCCGAGCCTATACCTCCGACCATTGTCCTGTTGGTACCGTCGACTTCAGTCAACCTTGGCGAAAGCTGGCCTGATCACCCACGCTCTAGTCAATGCACTCAGTCGATTTTCTGGTGACGAATATATCTGGTATACGAATGGTTTCGCACTGGTCGTTTCTGGCTCTTTCGCTCAATCTGGTTCCGTCCTACGTCTGCAGCTTTATTTGGTCCGGACCCCTACGAACGCAATTATCAGACACTGGATACGAGCCACGCTGGTGTGGTATGCTAACCCGGTGGACGAACTTGGCGCATAATTATTGGCACGGCAGCGGACAAACTCCCGGTGACAACTCGAGCTTCATCAGTCGCTTCCTGTCGTCAACCATTCTGCCCGTCAACCGAATATTGGCCGACGAGTGGCCTGAACGAAGCCGCTACATATCGAAAGTGTAAAACCCTTTCTAGGGGGGGGCTCCTGTAGTGGAACTATTTCGTCGAAATAATACGATTACTGACGTACAAATACTTATTATTGAACATATGTAACATTAACTGTTTTATTGTATATCATTTGTTTATTTGTACTAAAAGTCACTTTTCGAGCGCCACCCACGCCATCCCTGCGGATCTAACGATCGTCTCGTGTAATCATCGATTGTACAAGCTGAACACGTGATATTATTCTAATATCACTCGATTTTCTATCAATAAACGTTGATATCCTATATACAATCTTCTGTTCTGGAGTTGGTTTGGACGTGTAACCTTCACGCTTCAACAATCGCATGAACGTAACAAAGTAAAAAAAACACAACAACCTATTATAACTTACTTCAGTTGCTCGTTTATCTGTTTCTTCTAATTTAGTATTAGTTTCAGCTAATTGAGTTTGTGCAGTTTCTTTGTCAGTGTCGACTTGTTGAATTTTTTTAATCACTTCAGCCGCCTCTTCATCTTTAGTTTGCATTTCCAATTCTTTTTCACGTAATTTTGCTTCCAATTGATCAGCTCTATCATAGATAGCAACAATTATATAATTATTTAGTTGTTTAGATAAAATGATATTACAAATTGAAGAGTCTCCTGTTAAAGTTTAGGATTAATCAAGAGTTTTAGACTCCGATCATATGTAAGATTTGTTCAAGAAGCTTAAAGTTTCAAGGTTAACATCATATCACATTGAACTGTCTACCTAACGCCCATTCATGAAATAAGGTAGTAAAATCCAAATGTTAACTACCTTACTTTCAACACCGTCAGATTCTACCGGTTAAAGTTAATTAACTTCAGAATGAATACAATATTGAACAATTCAACCTCAAGCATAATTGTGCATTGAAAATAATTCTCTTGTTTTCATGCAACTGTTCTCACATTTACCACATACTCTATTTTGAAAACACACAGTGTTGATTGACTCGACACAGTGTTTTTCCAAAGCTATGCACAACCTTGAATCAAGTTGTCAGTTTAAAAAAATATTTAACCAAATTTGATTTGAATAAAATTGTTCATAGCCTGAACACAGTTTGATCAATTATCGCTAATTTATAATAAATTAATTGAATATTGAATGATTGTAAACAGTTAATTGATTTCAAATTGAAACAATAACACTTCATTCAACTAATATTTCATAAATTAAAACGAAAAATTGTATACTAATCTACAAATTATGAAAATCGAGAATTGATCAGTCGTTACTAGCATACACATTAGAATTTAAACAAAGTCAATTGATATCAGTTATTTGAGTACATGTTTAAAACGATTGTTATGCCAGACTGTTGTATATATAAGTAGTTATTTGAGTAGCGAATACTACAACAATACTTCAACACTTTTTTGGACTACATATACAGACTGGCAAGATCTGGTTAAACTTTCTTGTATAATATCTCTTAGATTGAATATTGAATATTCATATGTGCAGTGATGAAGTAGTGAAAATGAATTATTTAGTACATTTTATAAAATCCTGAATACCATAGGTAGATATCATGTTTAAGTAAAAAACAACCTGTTATTGAATGCTTGAAAGAAAATTCTAGTTGATATAAAAACTACCTTTAAAATATGTGACTCATAAATAGTTTGGATAATAAAAGCATTTTTTTATGATAAAATCGGATATATGAACCTTGGAATCTTAACTCAAGCTATTTATTCACTGATTTGAGGATTCTGGCCACCTACTAGGAATGTCGGAATGTCTAGTCCTATCCTACGATGAAACATTCATCCATCTCCTTCTGGTTTTCAATGATCGTTTGACCAAAATCAGTCATCTATGAGATTACAAAATAATACGATTCACAAAATACTTTACTATTACCGATTATCAGCAGTATATATAGCTTTAAACGTTCTTTCTTTACCATCGTGTATTTCTAGCCTATTTGTAAGAATAATTCATTGTGTATATTGAACTATATGTATATACGTCTCTACTTTGATTAATACCATTGTAGAAATCCTTAAATATACGTGAAATTGACTGATCATTCTGATATTACTATAAATATGGACTATTGGCTGACACTAACCACAGTTCATATCAGTGATTCAATTCTATTGGACAAATATTATTAATTGTAGCGTAGAATTGTTCAAAGATGAAGAAACAGTTGGTAATAATTGTTATCAGGCTAAAGAGTTTTAGGGTATTACACTACCAATTTGTAATATTGTTAAATAATCACATATTACTGAATACTAATTCAGTATAAATCATACATTTTCTGTGGGCTTGACTTTACGCAATTGTGTGAGGTGTGAGGTGGTGATGATCCCATAATATTATGAATTAATTTAAGTTAGACATTAACACTATGGTCAAGAGGTTAGGTGTCCGCATACTAAACCGAAACTCCAAGGTTCGATCCCTAGTTGCAGAGTTGTGGATGCGCACTACTAACGAGTCTCATCCTAGGACAAAAAGGTTATCCAGTGATCCCAGGTTTTCAAATAAAACTCCACACTCTCCACAACCCTATACTAACATCATTAACCAAATGGGCTGATCAAAGACAAATAAAACAAAGCTAGGACAGACGAAACAATCGTCGAAATCCCAATATTTAACTAATTATATTGGAATAACAGATGTAAGCCAACAATATGATCGTTTTCAATTAAATCGTTATCTTAATATACATGAATATTTACATGAAAATGTTAAACCAATCAAGGCAATTTCAGTCAATAATCATAATGCAATGAAATAGATTACGTCACTACACGCATATTAGGTAAAAGTACAAGTTGGCAGTAGGAAGACAGGTGTACTGATAGTAGTGGTAAGGATAATAAAATAAAATTTTTGTCAACGTGAAGAAGAATATGAACGGAAAGAGGCAGAAAATTACCAACGAATACTGGATGTGAAAATAATGCTCATAATAACGATAAATAGAAATAAGTTTTAAGATCTATTGTTAAGTTATATCTGACCGAGATAAGATTTCTTCTGAACACATAAATTGGAGATGAATGTTCAAATTCCTATGGTTTCTGCTATATTTATGTCGGAGACGAGATCGAACCGCTTTGGGTAATGATGAAGGTATACAGTAGATAGACCACCACGAAATGATTCATACTTATCTACATATCATGCTCGATGATATCAATCTGATGTGTTAAGATAGAACTGCCTATTGCTTTTAGCTGACTCTTCATAAACATTGCCATATAAAAATATTCATGTATACTAAAGAGAGTCTACAACCTGATGACGACCTAATTGGAAACAACAATACATTGATTGCTTCACACATCATAAAATTACACAATTAAAAATAAAAGAAGAAAAATAACTTACTCATCGACAGCATTCTCTTTGTCTAATTTCATTGCTAACATTTTCTTTTTAATATGTTCCATGATTTATGTTATGATAGTTTTGTTTTAATCGACGGATTCAATGAAATTTCAATGAAATATTAAAAGATTTTTTTGTCAAGAAATACACTAATGTTTTAAAAATGAAAAGAAACGAACAACCGAAGCGAAATGATAATAAATTTTGATTTTATGGTACCTATCAGGGCATCCACCCACTCATTTAGATAACAAAATGCGTGTGCACTACATTCCTACACTATTGAATAGAAATGTGAATCCAAATGAACCAATCATCATGAAATGTAGTAGGGGAAAATTTCTCTTCCCCATTAGTTGTTACACACACACATATTTTTCATTATGGGCAGTGTCATTTTACACATACATTGAGGCATCATGATCCCTTACTTTCCTTAAACTTGTTACATTATTGATTTCTGGCTAATGTGAATGATAGACAATGGATCATTGGTACAATGAATGTTATTTTACAGAAGACATGCAAGAAAAATTTAATATTGGTGCTGTAATCGGTAGTTATTGATTTTTGTGAATATGATATGATGTGCACTGATATTATTAGTAGTATGTAAACAGATAGAGAATAAGTAACAAGGAACAAGAAACAAAATGCACAGGTTTGTTTGAATAAACTGTAGATAAAGTAGATAAAGTGTTAACATAAAAATTAGCTGATTAATTAATCACGAAACCTGGATAGTTATTTCATTTTAATAAGCTGCCGGTGGGTAGTGTGCATTTCCGTCCTCAGTCCTCAGACAATAATCAAATAAAATAGGTGAAAAACACAATTATTTAGCATTGATTTGACATTTCTCTTACTTACTTACTTACTTACTTACTTACTTACTTACTTAGTTACTTACGCTTGTTACCCATTATCAAGCATAGGTTACCAACTAGCATTAAACAACTTACTCTGTCTTGTGCCTATGTTTCTAGTTCTACCCTATTGCTGTTCATTCTCTGGTATTCCTTTACCCCTTTGACCTTGAGTATTCCAAGTGACCGCTTGTCTTATGATTCAGTTGGGTGCTTCCCTCAATATGTGTTCTATCCACTTCCATCACTTCTTCCTGATTTCTTCCACATTAGTTTGTGGTTGATGGTGTCTGGTCAACATATCTCCATAACCTTGCGTCAACAATTGTTAATAAATCCTTTCATCCTCTAGATGATGGCCTTCTTGGTTCTCCAAGTTCCTGCCTCATACGATATAATTGTATTGCATTGAAAATTCCGACTTTGGTATTAGTTGATATTTGTTTTGGGTTCCAAATGTTCTTCGATTGAAGAAATACTACTGTTACTTTGCCAGTCCGTGCCTTCATCATAGATGATGCGGCCTAGGTATGTAAAGTTATCCACACCCTCCAAAGCTTCTTTATCAAGTGTGATTTAGTTGATGCATCTTTTGTTATATCCGAGAATCTTGCTTTTTCCCTTGTGTATGTTGAGTCCTACTGCTTCGGAGGCTGCCGCTAAACTGGTCGTCTTGTTTTGCATTTTTAGTTGCGTGTACGACAGAAGAACTAGATCATCTGCTTAGTCCAGATAGTCCGATTGCATCCAGGCTGTCCAATGCACCTCGTGTTCCCCCCTATATTGCTGCAATGATACCAGATATCAAATCCAAAAACTCAAGGTCATACAAAGTTACTTTGGATTGAAATAACTATATCTTTTAGTCTTTTAACTTGATCGATGAATGAATATTTTTGAACAATGAAACTTGTTAAACAGTAATACAGGTCAAACTGTCATTTTGTTTTATTACATCTGCGTACACTTTATTCAATGCTTTCGTTCAGTTAGTTATGAAAAGCTATTGGTTAAAACACACATCTGTTTTCATTTAGCTTGAATTCAAAGATGATGACGTCACAGCGATAGTAGGAACAGAATCGACTAGAACGTGTTTAGCAGCCAAGCTGATCATTACTTCATATGAAAACAATAGGAACCCATTTTCATGCTACCATGAAGTTTTTATACAAATTTATGTGAGTTTGCCAAATTAGCAAAAAGGGTCTACGTCTGATTTTAAAAATATATCCCATAATGTCTTTTCCATTTCTATCTAGTTGCTGCTAATTCTTTTCATGTCTGTCTTCAGTGTGCTATTTGATCTCCATCTTTCCTTTTGACCACTGAGGATTTGAAGTTAGGGCATTCTCAAGGCACTGTAGTACTGGATAGGACACACAGTGATGAAAACCACCGGACTGCGTCACGAGACAATCTCTCACATGGAACCCTCAAGGTCAAAGGAATTGAGGAGGGCCAGAGAACACCTTACACCGAGAAATAGAGAAAGATATGAGACGAATGAACAAAAACTGGAATGAACTGGAAAGGGAAGTCAAGGAAAGAGTAGGCTGGAGAATACTGGTCAGCGGCCGATGCTGCATTGAGGTTAACAGGCGTAGGTAAGTAAGTAAGATATGTATTGCAATTATAGTTAGCAATCAAATGAAGAACCCATGTTGTCTCCTACGTGAGATTGATCATTTGGATGCAACTACATTTTAGTGTTTATCCATTCTCTAATATGATTAAATCATTTCTTGATTAGGTTTGTTTAGCTTACATAATATTAAGTCATAAATCTACTTTAGTGTAATGTTAAGCATTGAAAACCAGAATATGAGACGAGAATTTCATGAAAATATTCTTGAGAATACTAAGAATACATCTGACTAAGTTGTAGCCTTCATCCGAAATCAATAAATTCAAATCATATAAAACATCATGGAATACTTTCCATTGATGTTTGTTGATGCGTAGTTCTTGATGAAAAATAAATGTGACTATTTATATATGTATAAGTAGTATGAAACATATTGTCAAATTATCAGAGAATGGTTTTTTTAAAGTAAATATCCTTAGCGCGATTAACTTAGATAACTGTTCTTTCCCAAGAATTCACAAAATGAATTGGTCAAAGTGTGTACTTAGAAAATGTAGTTTTCCTCATTATCAAGAGCTTGTAGTAACTTCACTTCATTATAACACTCGATTGTACCGGTGAACGTATTATCTTCAGAGCTTATTATTATTATCGAATATTTGTTTATATGCAATGAACTTTGTTCTATATATATATTGAAATGACACTACGGTCACGCTGCTTATTCCTCTTTGAGGTCACCATCTTGTTCTCACTTCTTTGAACCTTCGTTCATCCTCTGGAAAGTTTCGGTATTTTTTTCAAAAGCACGAAATCGCCAGCCGACACACCGATTTCATCTGATCTATGCTGTTTCTTTGTCCTTTCTTTAAATGATCTGGAATGACGTGTGAGACTCGAATTCGATTCGCCCAAAAACGTGTCCATACCTTGAGTTGTACTTGCTAATCAAACATACACTAATCTGTACCAGTGAAAACAGCTAGTTCTGCCGACAACTAATTGTTATTATTTCTGCTGTCTATGTTTCTACTTCCTTGTTTTAATCATCAAAATGCATCGGGGATGCAATAATGTCCAATCTCTCTGTCTATTTAGTCGACAATTCTAGAATACTGATTAAATAAATATATTTTGCATTAAAGTACTATGGAGGTGGTAACGTTACCCAGAAATCATGAATGAATCATTGTTATACTACTTTATTAGAAATCCTGGAAGCACTAGACGGCCATTTCGTCCTGGTATGGGACTCATCAGTGACAGTGCACATCCACGATTCCTGCACCTCGCAGGATTCGAATCCCGGACCTTTGGTCTTGAGCGCGAACGACAGTGGACCGGCATTCAACAGTATTAATGATTATCTCTGATCAATCTAAGGATTTTTTGGAAATTTACCGATTGTCTTTGGTAGTTGCTTCCCACATCCGACAGGGTTGAATTCCACTGGTCACGTCTTCTCACTTGAACTCCGAGAACTTCCTCACGAAGCAAGTCACTACTGAGCACATTTTTTGATTTTGCAATGTTTCTTTCATGATTTCTAGGTAATAAATGCATTCTTTGCAATATCTTCCAACAGTCCCAGCTGTTCTAATTTATTGAGATAAGTTTTTACAGTTGTAATACGAGCCTAGAAGCAGTCTCATGACAATCAGCATACATATATCTATTCGTCGAACGCCTGACACATAATTAGATAGTGAAGAAGAATATAGACGGAAAGAGGTGGAAAATTACAAACAAATACAGGATGTGAAAAATACTAGTATTAATTATGAGATAAAATTATTTATTAAGCTGTATCCTGCCAAGGAAGGGATAGAGGTGTCACGAATTTCTTCTGAACGCATAAATTGTAGCTGAATGTTCAGATTCCTATGGTATCTGCTATATTTATGTAGAAGACGGGATCGAACTCCGTTGGAAAATGATGGAGGTACACGATAGATAGATCAAAAAGAAATGATTCGAATATATCCACCTTATGACCTCTGTCAATCAGACGTGCCGAAGTAGAACTGCCTATCGATTTTATCTGGTCGTTCATAAATATTTTCATTTAAATATTCATGTAAATGAGAGTAAAGAAAGTAGTCAAAACAACTTTCTCTTTGACGTCTGCATTTATCTGTGCAGAAGTGATTTAATCTCTTAACTGTAACATTCTCTTTTAAAAATATTTACAATAATGAGAATGTAAATGTGTAGATTGAGTGTTAACATTTTCACTGTACGTTTATCAGTTAGTTATTGGTGAAGTTGGGCTGGTTGAAATGAAACTGGGGGCGCCCAAACCAAAACATGGAATAAATCCATGAAGTCATTGAAAATTGGAGAGACCTATGTTGGTAGATGTAGACTACCTGATCGGGGTTCGTGAGACGATAGTAACAGATGTTTAGAAACCTTGAACGACATGGCCCAAAATCATCTGCAATGGCCCAGGTGAATCCACTCTTTATGTTCTCGAAAATCCTAATCTTTCGAATTCCTAATCACCTTTATATTACTCTTTTTAAGTTTTTTTGACTGTACTGTACTTCTTTAATAATTGTTTCGAACTCTTATTTTCTCCATTACCGCTAATACTTCTCAACTGAACTGAAAATTTTGTCCCTGTACTAATGTGGTATGGCAATTTGAACTGATATGTGTACGCACGTACGAAGTTCCACGATACAACTGACTGACTGACTGAGTGAAGCATCATCAGTTACTTTCATCGTCTGTGAATTCCCGCTTGTTAAATCATCATTACATGCAGATTTGGTAAAAAGATTCGTAGACATTTTTCTTCGTGGTTCTTGTGAGCGAAATTCATTTCGATTTCTATTACTTTCCCCTCCATGTATTAGGTGAATAACTCTCATATATTTACTCAAAAAATTTTTGTTACGTTTATTCTGAGCTCCTTTTTACATCAAGGGCAGTTGTGAGTTACTGAATGATTGTTAGAAATTTACTGATAGCACATCACTGTCCAGTTGTTGGATGTACAACCAGATAGTACAAAATAACAACAGAAATGACCTATTTAAAATGTGCCATTCAAATCAAGTGATCCCTGTATTGATCGTAATATTTGACACTACGTTTGTTCTGCTTTTATTCAAGATGTTTTTGTGGTATTTTACATGGTCGAGTATTTCAATGCTTCAGTAGGCTGGAATTTCGCTTACCCTTTAACGTTGCTTATTGGAAGACTGCAGAAGAGTGTATGATAGGTAAAACTCTTCATGCTTAAATATATTTGCTTATCTTCGTAGTTATTTGTTACGCATGCACGTAAATATGTCATTCGATATGCTTGAACTATTACGAATTTACCTTAGTCGGAAAACAAGGGCGAGGATCGAGGATCCGGCGACACGACAGGCTACTTTAATCCAAGTGCCTCAACCCCAGTTGAGCACAAGAAGAAAAGTTGATATGAAGTAGAGCAAGTATTCTACAAGCACGCAGAAAGTACGATGTCCGAGTCCAGAAGCTAATCAAGATCCTGGACTAGGGATCCTGGTCCGGGTCATGAAACGTTACAGATAATGTCTATTTATACAGTTAGATCGAATAGGGAACAACGTTGAAGTCTGTGACATTGACAGTTAAGGCGACCAATGAGAAAAAACATTGAATTACGTGACACTGATATCTAGGACGACCATAATATTGACCAGTAGGTACTGACCAATAGAATTAGACTTCCAAAAATAATTCTTTTAGGATATTTGATGAATTTCCTAACATCATTTAACGTACAATTAAAGATAGTTTTGTGATTTTCAGAATGTTTATTTAAAGAAAGTTTTTCTTTTCTTAAGAAGTCTGAACTGATGCCTTAGTTAATAATCCACTTCCGTAAAAAATAGTCAAATAAAAACAGATTTTCCCCCGTCGTTAATCGATTTACAGTGACATTCAGTGCAGGTTTTTTCAAAGAATTTCGGCCGGCGTGAAGTCAATCGTATCTAACACTTGATACATACGTTGGTGTGCTGCTCATGTTTAAACTGGAACTCGAATAAAGTATTCGTAACCCTCAACACAGGAACTTTATTATCCGATGGTATGATAAACCATGGCTGCTAATTAACCTCATACAACGGATTCCACTTCGATAATATTTTGTGAACAGATTACCAGGTACATACAAAAACAACCTATTACTAAATACAGTAAAGAATTCTGATCAATTCATTCAATCAGAGTTTTGTAGACAACAACCATTTTTCTGTAAGTTCACCAAAAATGAATCACTTCAATTAAGTTTGCAACACCGAGTTGATAAACGAGTTATACTACTGATTAATCATTAAAGTAGCATAAATCTGTTTCATAAAAAAAACAATTAGGAGTATGAAAATTATATTTTACTAGTAAAAAAAATGACGACAACTGAGAATGACGCTAAAATACAAAAATGGGTTTATTTTCAAAATAAGAAAAATAACACACACACACACACACTTCCATCATGGATATTGATAATATGGTAGTCCATAATGTATTTGTTGTGGTAGATTTGATGTGCTGTAGTTCTGATAAAATGGAGAAGGCATAAAAGAATTTAATTGAGGGAAAGGATACGAAAAAATTGGTTTTGACGATGTAGAGGGAGGACATTGTGAACCACTACTGTACACTACTTTTGTGGGAGTCTTTTTATTCGCAAATTTGGGCTGAGGTGTTGTTGTTGTTTTTGTTGTTGTTGTTGTTGTCATTGGACAAACCATAGGAGGACATTGTTTCAATCCATGTGATCTTCTGCCACTAATCTCTTCAAAATGTTGACAATAACGGAAAGGTGAACAGGGACATTTCACTAAATGACTAAGCAATTGACATATAATACAATTATGATCATCAATTGGGCAATTACAATTATTGCAGAATCTATCAAATGATTGTACACAATTTGATTTATTATAATAATCTTGACTGTTGAGTGAAAATGTACTCTTTGTATTTACCGATAAAGTTTCACAGGATGATGATGATGATGACGCTGATGCTGATGATGATGGTGATGAGGATGGTAGTGATTCTGGACTTGATGTTCTTTTGCTGTTAGTGTTTGGTTTGATTGAATGATTTTTACAACTTGTAATCCTATTTTTTGGAATAGTTTTTCTATTCGTAATCACATTAGTATTTTTGACTTTATTTCGATGACTACTGTCATTTTGATAATTGTTAGCTACTACTGTTTGAACAATATATTCATTTGGTCCAGATAGTAGACTGTTAGCTTTAATTGCATGCATTATTTCAGTCATTTTGATATTGTGTCCTTGAAGGTTATTACGCAGCTTCTTAGTACCGATTACAGCATTCTGATCACTTCTACATGATATTCTCTTGGATTTCTCATGATCATTTGGCTTCAGTTGATCAAGTTGATTTGTAATTTGTGATTTGAAAATATTTTTATCAGTGCATTGATTAGATGATTCGTTGATTTGCTTTCCTGTCGAAGTCCTCAATTGATCAAAGCTTCTATCTTTCATGTTCGGTTGACCAGTATTGGCTAGTTTCGATTGGTGTTGTATGATGGTTTGTGAAGTGGGGTGATGTGATGTTTGCATAGATGATGATGATGATGGTAAATGCTTTGATTTTTCCATAGCCATGTTATTTGTTTTAACAGTTTTATTCATGATGATGTTTGGATTGTATGATCGGGCAAGTCTAGAATTGCTTTCAGTGGTTTGTACTTGATTAGGAGTGACAATGTCGTTTCTGATCATGTTTTTCCCATTCGGCAGATTGTATTTGTTGTATTAACTGAGTTGGTTAATTGACAAAATGATAAAAGAAATATGACTAAAGTACACTTAGATATTATTTCTAGTGTATTTATGTAATTCAGTTTGCATAGAGATGTGTTATTTTTTAAAAAAAAATATGTCATTTAAATCACGTGACACTTGTATTGATCGCAAATTCAAAACCATGTGTTTAGTGTACTTTGAAATTCGAGATGGTTTGTGATGCTTTACGAATTGCAGTGTATTTCATCATCTGTGAATTTGAAGTCATCTATTCGGAAGTCGAATAATCGCAATGTTACTGGAATTTTGATTAGGAAACAAGCAAGAACTAGAACTGGAAGCAGACAGTTTGAATTGCTACTGAATTACTAGATCAGAGTGGAACACAACGGAAAATATTGATTTGTACAAGGAACGTATTCATTAATCATCACGCCTGCTTGCGGCACGTTGAATATCGCCTAGCTAGGTGTTCATAATGTGATCTTGGTTTCTGTACAATTCTACATGTTCTTCTAAAATGCTCAGTAGCGCGATTTTCATTTTTATCTCCTAACGGAATTCCGAAATTGTCCAAAGAGTCATGATTAAACAAGAGTATCAATGCAATCAAAATTGGAACTATGTCTCTCGGGAGTTGTTAAGATATTCATCGAATATCCTAAGAGAATTATTTTTGGAAGTCTAATTCTATTGGTCAATTCCCCAATGGTCACTATTATAGTCGTCCTAACTATCAATGTCACAGATTTCAATGGTGTTTCCTAATTGACTCAACTGTATAATTATACATTATCTGCAAATCTAATTATTCCTTCCTTCCCTCCTTCTTTACTCAACCCCATAAACAACTTCATCTGACACTGTTGTGTTCCGATAAATTGGAGATTTTGGAACAGTACCGGGGATATTTGAATGTGGTCAATCGGTAGGATTTGGAACAGCTAGCTACATAGCAGCATTATAACCGAAGTTCAAGATTATTTAATGGAGAAGGGTTAGTTACAGAATGGTCAGAATTAAAAAGGAGAATCGCCCACTTGATTATAATTCACTTGGTCCACGTTTGTCTATTGTGTGAACTGAATGATCATTCAAATCAATTGTCTACTATATCATCTGATTACCCATTTCTGTGTGTTGAAATTCCTGTAGTGAGTCGACAATTATTTTCTCGGTAAAACTGAACTTTAGATAATGTTTTATTTGCCGAATAAGTGTGAGGTATGTGAGATTTGAAGAGTTTCACTGGACTTACTTAAGTTCTTGAATATTTTGCATTACGATATTGAAGTTGGAAATAATCAATGCATTTTTCTTACCCTTCTAGATTATTTGGATTTACTGACGTGATCGCACTATTTAAAATTGGAAGGACATTCTCAGCTAAACTATGAGACGGAGAAAATCGTGGAGATGTTAATAGATGGTGGCATCCAATATCATGGGGTTCGCTGTTGAATCTCTTTTTCTGTGAAATGATTTCTATCATCAGTCAGCAATACATCAGGTTTCCTTTCATGACTAAATATCTTCCTCATTGCTCCTTGAGTAAAGTTTGCGCTCGGACTATTGTTAGGTACTACTTCTAGTCATTTGGAATGTAAATCACCCGTATGCATATGATCCACACCAATCGAAATGAATGCGTTACCATGTACCACAAGATACAAGTCAAGGATCCGAAGTAGGTTCATTGTTTGACAACATATTACGTAGGTATGCTGGAGAGGTTTTCGATTTCTGATTAATGTCAGCATCAGTCTCAGACCAAAGTCTGACGAGCGAATGATTTCATTTTCTCTGCTCCTTGATGGGTGGGCTGATGATCAGTTAATACTGCAAATCTAAGTGTAGCGGAATAATTAGTCTATCATTCAAGCACGGAAAACCTTCAGGATTTGGTTATAGTTCCTGTATCCTGTTGCAATACTCAATAAACCTACGCTTGCACTGAACATTGAAAACTCTCTTCCCTGCACATTTAACAGTTCCATGTTCCACTAAATCGACAGGCAATGACTGAACTAGCAAACAATCATTTTCTTTAGATGAACTTTCAAAGTATGAATACCGAGATAGGAGGTGGTATGCTCGGCAGTAAAATCATAGACACCCGATTCTTAATTCTGTCTCCACACCATGGCTACCGATGATCAATAGAGTGATTTAACCAATTGGCAACTTAACTTTTACATCTGATTATCAGTTATAATATGGAATTTCACACCAAACAAGTGTTTATACAGTTTTCTTATTGCCCGCAACACAGCTAAAGCATACTTTTCAGTCTGAGAATATTCTTGTTCACTCCTGTCTAATCGTCTCTCAATGGCGACTTATGTTGGGGTTAAAACCATAATCGTCTGCAATAAAGCCGGGATTGTTGATAGAATTTTGTTGGAATAGACACATGGAAATGATCAGTGCTAGACTACCAGTGCTTCCAGGTTTCTAATGGTGATCTAACACTGATCGATTGATAATTTCAGTGTGTAAAGTGCAAAATAAGTTAAAAAGAATTGAACTTCCGCACTGGTCGTTTTCAAGATTTTAAATATCAGTTACTATATCATTCAAATCACCAATGATCATCTGTTTGTTTGCAGGAAATGTAGGATGACTATATGAATGTAGAATACTTTTTAGGAGTTGATGTGTTAGGATATTTATCCAATATCCTAAGAGAATTATGTGTAAATCTAGTTCTATTGATCATTTCTTATTAGTTAATTCCAAATGGTCAATATTACGGCCGTCCTAACTAACAGTCACTACAAATGTTGTTTCCTGTTCGACCCAACTTTATAAATACGTATTATCTGTAACGTTTTATGACACGGAACCAGACCAGGATCCCTTGACCAGGATCCTCATCCTCGTCCCGACTCGGACCTCGTACTTTCTATATGCTTCATACTTCATATCAAATCTTCTTCTTTTACTCAATGGGTTTATTGGGACAATCGGATTAGAGTAGCATGTCGTGTCACCGGATCCTCGATCCTCGCTCTCATTTTCCGACTAAGGTAAACTCGTCATAGTTCAAGTATATCAAATCTACGTGCATACGTAACATGATGAACAAACAACCTTGAATTTACCCTGGTAATCATTAAGACATTTCATGGACTATGGGGTAATGTGACAATTTCCTACCCTTCCTTATTCTTTTCATGTTATATTAATTTTCTCTCTCCTTCATTTTCACAATTATCATCTTATGTCTATTTGAACTTTTATTTGATTGACCTTTTATGAATTTTCATATGAAAATGTCCTGACAAGTTTATTTATGTGTGTGACCAGATTGTTCAAAATGTATTTTGTTGATGAATTACATCTTCTCATTGTTCTATCAAAATTAGAAATCAATTATAAATCAAACTTTCACATCTATCGCCTGTTACGAATGAGTGCGTTACGATTTCTGGTCGGATTGATTGAACAGCTAGATCGCCATCAATAAAACGACTAGTGGTGATCTGATGAAATGGCCATAATAATAACTAGCACGTTTCGAGACATGAATCAAACACAGTTGATCCAAGTGGGAGTTGAGAGTGTATATATGTTTATCAAGTCTTTTCTTGAGGCTATCAACTGAGGGGTTGTGGTTACTGGGGATTAAAGAGCACTCAAAGGTGGGACAACTCTTAATCAGAAAAGTGGGAAGGTACCTGGATGATCACTTTTTGATGTGCGATTTTTCGAAGATTACCTTGGGGGGGGGAATGGTGGTGATGTGTTAACAACAGGTTCATAGTACATTATATGTTATATGCTATTATCAGATCACCTCTGATTGACTTGAGAGTCTGGATGCACTTTGCTATAATACGAAACTTTCTGCTCCCAAAATAGCTTTTAAGCTACAATTGAAGCCCATCTTCGCAACCTCCTCAAATATGAGTACGTGAGTTACTGTACCGAAAGGAAGTCAGGAAATATTATTAGAACGGGTATTTTTTGGTCCCATCAGCTTCCCTAGGTGTACCATGCTATGAGAAGATTGGATGAACACCACCTATCTATCCTAAACCCATGATGGGTTTTCTCGAGTATTTTGTTCCTATCTACGTACTTCCTCATCTTCGCTCATTCAACTGCCCTTCCGCTAATTTCGGCTGCATTGGTAGTGTTGCTACTGGTCTGTAACAAACTTGATCTGTATCGCCTTCACTTTTGAAGATTGGAGGGTAGCTTTTTTCCATTCATCCAGGAGTTAGTGCGACTCCATTGAATACCAGTGAATTGAGGATTTCTGCACACATTTTTAAGCTAATAGGAGGAATATTGTTACATCCTGATGACTTTCCTAGGCTTAGGGATTTTAGTTTTCTTATTGCTAAGCCAGGATTAAGTCGGATATTCCCTAGGCCATCAGCTGAGGCTAGGTTTGAGAAGTACGCCGAACTTGTAGGTAACTGGTGTGACTGGTCTGTAAAAGTAGCATTAAAGATCTCAACTATCTCCAAGGTTGATATAATCTTAACCATTTGCACTTTTGAGAGCACAAATACCCTGGTTTGTACGTTTCGTTTGACTTATGAACCTAGAGATATTTTAGGTTAGTGCATATTTTGGCTAACTTGTTTGGAAGTTTCTCCTAACGATTTGAACTTTGGTATTGCATCTGTGTCTCAATACCAAGTAAGAAAAACAGTAAGAATCCTTTCGAGCGACCTTTCAATTGTGTTAGGTCCTCGTTTTTGCCGGTAGGAGGCGTCCTGTATCTCGTTTTATACATGTTCTTTTTTTTCCAGGTGTGTGGTTTACCTGAAGTATGTTGTGTAGGACAGAAATCTCAATGATATCTCTCACTGTTTGCCAGTGATCTCCTGCTGTTAGCCCCCACCATCTTCGTGACCATGAGGCGTGTAGATCATGATCTTTCATGGTCGTGTAGTTTGTCACAGTGTAACAAAGGAAGGGTACATTTTTGTCTCCTACGAATATTTCGTTTGTGATTATGTTAAGCA